CTACTGAGACTAGATAGATTTGATTGAGACTAGATAGATTTGATTGAGACAAGATAGATTCGATTGAGACTAGATAAATTCTATTGAGACAAGATAAATTCTATTGAGACAAGATAGATTCTACTGAGACTAGATAGATTCTATTGAGACTATATAGATTCTACTGAGACTAGATATATTCTATTGAGACTTGATAGATTCTACTGAGACTAGATAGATTCTACTGAAACTAGATGGATTCCATTGAGACTATGTAGAATCCATATAGACTAGATATATGGATTCTACCAAAATAAATAGATTCTTTTGAGACTTTATAGATTCAATAGAGACTAGATAGATTCTATTGTTAAAGTTTATCTATAAAATAGTTAATTATCATCTAGTAACATGAATAGCTGTTTAGTTTTAATCATTGTTAGTGACTTCCTATCTTTGTTTGTTTCTCTCTCATTGATTAGTTTTCACCTAGTGATCTTCATTTCTGAACTGTTTTTGGTCTGTTTTAAATTGAACACTTTTGAAAAAGGTTAGTGTCAATGTCATTTTAAATTCGACAGCGACTTGACAACATAGTTATCTTTTTTACCCACCCATCCTATCCCTCTTCTTCTTTTGTTTAATTTTTGATTTTATAGTTTTTTTTAAATGGCGTTTTTGTATATAATTTTGGAATGTGTAAAGAATTGATAATTTGTATTTATATATCTGTTCAGTTTATGTGTTATTACATTATGTTTTCTCGGCCAAAATAAATTTTTGCTTGTCATTTACGTGTCCTCTGTTTACATTTGGGTTACTTAAAAGATAATTGGGATTAGACAGATACTACTGATACAAGATAGATTCTACTGAGACTAGATAGATTCTTCCAAGACTAAATAGATTCTACTAAGACTAGATAGATTCTTCTGAGACTAGATAGATTCTTCTGAGACTAGATAGATTCTTCCAAGACTAGATAGATTCTACTAAGACTAGATAGATTCTTCTGAGACTAGATAGATTCTTCCAAGACTAGATAGATTCTACTAAGACTAGATAGATTCTACTGAGACTATATCAATTCTACTGAGACTAGTTAGATTCTACTAAGACTAGATAGATTCTACTGAGACTATATAAATTCTACTGAGACTAGATAGATTCTACTGAGACTATATAAATTCTACTGAGACTAGTTAGATTCTACTAAGACTAGATAGATTCTACTAAGACTAGATAGATTCTACTGAGACTATATAAATTCTACTGAGACTAGTTAGATTCTACTAAGACTAGATAGATTCTACTGAGACTATATAAATTCTACTGACACTAGATAGATTCTACTGAGACTATATAAATTCTACTGAGACTAGTTAGATTCTACTAAGACTAGATGGATTCTACTAAGACTAGATAGATTCTACTGAGACTAGATAGATTCTACTGAGACTAGTTAGATTCTACTGGGACTAGATAGATTCTACTGAGACTAGATAGATTCTACTGGGACTAGATAGATTCTACTAGGACTAGATAGATTCTTCTGAGACTAGTTAGATTCTACTGAGACTATATAAATTCTACTGGGACGAGATAGATTCTTCTGAGACTAGATAGATTCTTCCAAGACTAGTTAGATTCTACTAACACTAGATAGATTCTACTGAGACTATATAAATTCTACTGAGACTAGTTAGATTCTACTGAGACTAGTTAGATTCTACTAAGACTAGACAGATTCTACTAGGACTAGATAGATTATATTGAAAATATATAAATTCTACTAAAACTAGACAGATTCTAAATGAATTGAGGCTAGATATATCAAGTGATTCTATTGAGACTAGATAGATTCGATTGAGACTAGATAGATTCGATTGAGACTAGATAGATTCGATTGAGACTAGATAGATTCGATAGATTCGATTGGGACTAGATAGATTCTATTGAGACTAGATAGATTCTATTGAGATTAGATAGATTCTATTGAGACTAGATAGATTCTATTGAGACTAGATAGATTCTATTGAAATTAGATAGATTCTATTGCGACTAGATATGTTCTATTTAGACAAGAAAGATTCTATTGAGACTAGATAGATTCTATTGAGACTAGATAGATTCTATTAGGACTAGATAGATTCTATTGAGACTAGATAGATTCTATTGAGACTAGATAGATTTTACTAGGAATAGATAGATTCTATTGAGACAAGATAGATTCTTTTGAGACAAGATAGATTCTATTGAGACAAGATAGATTCTACTGAGACTAGATAGATTCGATTGAGACTAGATAGATTCTATTGAGACTAGCTAGATTCTACTAGGACTAGATAGATTCTATTGAGACTAGATAGATTCTATTGAGACTAGATAGATTCTATTGAGACTAGATAAATTCTATTAGGACTAGATAAATTCTTTTGAGACTAGATAGATTCTACTAGGACTAGATAGATTCGATTGAGACTAGATAGATTATATTGAGACTAGATAGATTCGATTGAGACTAGATAGATTCTATTGAGACTAGATAGATTCGATTGAGACTAGATAGATTCTATTGAGACTAGATAGATTCAATTGAGACTAGATAGATTCAATTGAGACTAGATAGATTCAATTGAGACTAGATAGATTCAATTGAGACTAGATAGATTCTATTGAGACTAGATAGATTCTATTGAGACAACCCATATATCTTCTTTCTTTTTTTACTTTTATTCTTTTTTACCTTAATGACTTTACTTCGTTTGGCGAACCTTTTCTCTTTAGGATAATACAATGAAACATTTGCCGTTCAATTTTACTTTCTTTTCAAGTGTGAATTTTCCCTGTAAAAAAGTCATTCGCAAATGGACCAAAATGATGTGAATCTTAATGACACCCCTTCATCCTATCTAGAATTTTCATTTAATAATGTTGTGATATCATTTGACTAAAAGTCGGCAATATTTTCCCAGTCTAATCTAATCCTTGTATCATTTAGAATGCGGCATTTAGTAAAAGCAATCAATTTCAGATGATCAGTTGGACAATATGGTGTTGGTGATAATTAAATTTCTATTTAGTAAGATTAATGTAAAAGCAATCAAGATGTTATTAATATTTTATTTTCTCTATATTATAGTAATTGTAGAATATTGATTAAAGTTAAAATTAATAACACTTTCCCTTCATTTCCTCTTCTCCACTTCAAACTTCCTTACAGCCTTTACACTTTCTATATAATCTTATAGCTTCAATGGTATAAGAAACACTATACACAGCAATACATAACTTAGGAAATAACAAATAGTTTTTTTTCTGTTCTTGGATAATTTTATTATTCTTGCGTCCCACATGCATCTGGCTGCAATGGGAGGTTTATGACGCCAACAGGTCAAAATTTTGATATACACACAACAATGATAATTTCTTCAAATATGATGAACAGAATAGTAATCTTCAGGGGGTGGGGGGGGAGAGAAGATTTTCAGAGCGTATGAATAAGAACTGTGCAAATTTTAATTCTGTCTTAGCCCATAAATTGCAGAAAAGTATTGCGTAAAACATTTCATTCATGTCATTTGTAAATTTTAATTGACTGCACACCAAACACCAAACTTTAAACAGGGTAGTTGTTTTATACCACCAGAGAATCCTTCTTAAAGGGTACATGTTGTAAGCTAGTAGTGGAATTAACTCTAATATTAAAATTGTCAACATGCAATATGTGAATATTTGATGTTGGTGTCATGTATACAGTGAATAAGAAGCTTAAAGAGACCAAGCCAGAATCAATAAGCTTATCATTTGTCTCTATTCTGTTTGATTGACATGTAGTGGTAAAGATCAAGGTTTAAAAGACGGACAATGTTGGCAAGTTGACAAGCAGTAAAATGATCAAGTTGAGATATTGTCTTGAAGTTAGAATTGAAGACTGATGAGAAGATCTGGTTTGCTGACGGTCATGTCACAAGAGTCGGAAGGGTATAGTTTCATCTAAACCAACTCCAGCCTTGTAATTTAATCTTCTCCACAAGTTTTCTCTATAAACAGACACTAATTGTCATTGAACAAAGCCAAAGTTACTTGTAATTTATGAAGAAGATAGTTGCTGTGTCCTTGTATTGTTTGTCCATAGACAAATTATATTATGGTTACCAATGATATACCTGACATACATATATACCCAATTCAAAACATCATCATTATAGAATATAACACAATAGATTTATCCATGAGATATAATTCTTAATAAATATTTCATGTTTTTTTCTGTTAAGTATAATAATATTTCAAACAGATTAAATTAGAGAATCTGATCGTACTGGTCCATACAGGGTTTTTTTTCTAGTGCAGAATTCTGATTAGAGAATACCTTAATAACACACATTAATTCAATACCACCATAAAACATGTTGATCTGATCGAGTCAAAGTGCAAAAACAAGCAAGAATCTGAGCTTAACCTATTAAATAATTCTTTCCAGTCTCTCAAACTGAAATTAGTCTCTATTCAGTTTGAACTGTGTGGCATAGCTGTTTTAACCCTACATATTTCTGTAACTTTGTCATTTTCATATACTAGTTGTAATGTCTCAAAATTTTATCTCTGAATAATATACAATATCAAAGACAAAAATATAAATATTTGATAGCAAAGGAATTTAATATCGACAAAAAAATGTTAAGGAAATTCAATAAGGTTTAGTCACACTATACATGTATATCTAACAATGATATTACATAGACATTGATACGAGACAATAACCAATTGAAGCTTTGCGTCTATGGAATAAATATATCTTAAAAGTCAAATTGAGAAAATCATGTACTACTTTTCTTATTGCATACATATTTGGCACTTAAAAATCTTGCCATTAAACAAAAAAGATTGACAGACAAATAAATAAAGACATACATTTTAACAATAAGATGGTATTTTGTAGGAATAAAGTAGTTGAAATCAATATGAAGTTAATTCAAGATGATTGTAATAATTGATGTATCGTGAGCAATGAAACGCTATGATTGTTTATGTTCAACATTTTCAGCCACGGTCTGTAAAGTTTTTAGTTCATAAAATAATTGCCTACCACTATAATTCAAGGAATCAAGTTCTGCATTCACTTGTCCAATGTCTTTAATAATACTATCTGGAAATGTGAGGGGAAATAGCAGTCTTTTAAATAACAACCTATTCATATGTTTCATATTCGTTTTAGCATTGAAACCTAAACATTGAGCTCGCTGGCATTTCAAATCATATTCACAATCAGATTGGTGTTTTGGTTGTAAACCACACTGCGGTTCTATATTATTTATATCGTCTAAATCAATCATTTTTATTGAATTGTCTACAAACAGAAAATGTCCCTCTTTAAAGTCAGGCACGATAAGGGACCCGAGTGGGGAATTCTCCAAATAATCTAGAAAGTTTGCTAATTCTATAGCTTGTTGAAGACGGAGTTGCCATGATTCCAGTTGTAAACTGTCTACAACAAAACGTTGTCCGTATTCGTAAACGGCTACGACTCCGTGTTCGGAGATATCTGTTGAGTCACTTTCTTCACTACGTACACAATAACCTAATAATTGAACTAAATTTGGGTGATTGATCTGTTCTAATAACAGAATTTCCTTCATTAATTTCATTGTTGGAATGGCAAAGCATTTTGATTTCATTTGAGGAGTATCCGCTTTCCTTTTCTTCAAATCCTCGAAACATTCGCGAACGTCACGCAAATGTCGGGTGACCATCTTTACCGCCACATGTTGACCTTGGTAATCACCGAGGAATGTCTGCTTGGAAACTCCATGTCCAATTTTCTTTTTGATTTTAATATCGTGTATATTTGAACAGTTGAAGGGATATCGTGGTCTCTGGATATAATTGTATTTCTCATTGTATGTAATACCATTGTAAACATCATTAGAAACAAGATGGCCACTTTCTGCTTTTAAATCCCTGGAGGACTGAAAGTAAAGATTTGATGATCTTTTCCTTCCCCTGTTCTCCTGATTATTAGACAAATCATCCTCAATGTTTGAACCAAATTGATATTGGGCCTTGTTTTCTGCGTGCTGCTTGCTTTTAAGTAATAATTGATAGGTTGAATCGAACGGATAAGAAGGGGAGTCCCGAGGGATTTTCTGTAATCTAATTCCATTAAAACGACCATTCATTGAAGAGTAATCCTCGGCATAAGTCCCAATAGGACACACTCGAAACACAGCCAAATACATGACGAATATGTAACCCAAGGCTGGAAAGACAAGAACCAACACGAGACCTTTAGTCCGGTCCCTCATTATGAACAATACTCCTGGGGGTGATGAGCACTACGTATAACAAGAAATAAATAACCGTATTACTGTCAGAACAGTCAGTATTGTATAAGAATTATCCTAAATTCTGAACCAAGTTACCTTGTAGTAATCCCGTAGCGACTGTTACCAACAACTTTACAGTTCGAATGCAATCATCTATCCAGACTAACACACGATTTCAAACACCACCAGACATCGTCCGCTCTGTTAGCCCAACTTAGAAGAAATGGTATATGTTCTTACAAGCGATCACAAGAGTACAATGTTAATTAGATTTTAAACGTATCCAATTAACAAGGTGCTTGGAACCAATAACCAGAGTATCAGGCGATATGTTTAACTTGTTTTATCTATCAAATCATTCACTAGATTCCTCTACACTACATTAATTCTTCCTTTCAACCAAACCAGACTAAGATAAATTCTTCTAAGTCTTTTGTTTTTATTATTTAATTATTATATTGGGAAGCGAGTCTGTTTTTCAAGCCAAAGTATTCCTACTTATCTCTGGTGATTTTTTAATTGTGTTTCCATCGTAATTGGTTGAAGAGAATAAGAATTGGAGCCAGACTGACGATAGAATCATCCATGTAGAAAACGGTATTGATGAAGGAAGGTAGAAAATGTTAAAGTAACACCTTATATTCTATTGTTGTTGATACTGGGAACTAGAATTAGAAACAAGACAGAAAAACACATTACATAGTGACACTTTTTTATATTTAACACTTCCGCTAACATTGACGAGGTTTTATAGCTGGGTACTGTAGTTTGTTTCAATTAGCAGTCTCAGTTGATATAGTGTTAAATAGTGTTTAGTCAGTTGTTTCTGTGGAAATGTGTGATAATACTATGAAAGATTTCATATTAAGCTTCTCTTGTTCGGGGTTATAACTCGGGGAAATAATTTGTTACTTTTTGTTACAGAAATTCCTGTAAATGGTAAATAAATTGCAAAATCAAGCTTTCTTTGAGCTTTGTCACAAATGATCATGAGAGTGTGCAGTTGAAATCATACAAAAAGTTATAGCATACCTGAACCGGTGTTTGAGATAAAAGTTCCCGTCATTTTTGTATTGCATGAAGTACATGAAATCACATTTCACAACATAAGATCAGTATTCAATAAAGAGAATATGTCTTAATTTCGATCACAAAAAGCACCATTGGTTCTACACTTGTATTCGGGAACAACTAACCCCAGTTCCAGATCACAAAATACAGTGGATACAGCTGGAATATATTTTTGCAGGCTGTATATTGAAGTAAATTGAAATTTTCTCAATCCTTTTTAGAGTTACAATTAAAATAATAATGAATTAGCATTACACAAATATTTCATAACATTTTGAATTGTCTATTTAATCACTTACGTGACGATTTTTCCAATTCCATTTCGTAAATTTCCGTTCCTTTTTTTAAAAAAGCTGGATAGTTTACCAAAATTATCTGAATTTTTTTGCCAACAAACACATCAACCTCCTGATCAAATACAGCACATTTCAGGTTGCTACTGGTAGAAACACCAATAATAGCAGTGTATCACTCAGTCCATAAAGTATCGTTATAAAGATGATGTTATTAACTGGGTGAAAAGTTGCCAGTCTTTTAGATGATGTGTTGAAATCAACTGGTCACGGGTTTCAACTCGACTAATAGCTTGTCATTGCCGATCTCAGAATAATTCGATAAGCTTTGATGATGTGTTACTTCAGATGGCATAAATCGACTGTTTGAAGAGAGCTATAAAAACAATAGAATGGGTATTAATTCAATATAGAAGATGGTACAACCTGATGGTATATTGGCAAAGTTTTATATAGAGAGCTTTTAACCTGGTACTTGTTAAGTTTTTATTAGCTCTCTAGACTTGTGGCATATATTTTATTATTAAATAATGTTCGACACAATCATGACATTTATAAGCTGCCGGATATATACATCTATTTATAGATAGAAGAGACAGTGAGGAATTTAAATGTAAACTAGGTATTAATCATAACTGCTTGTCAACTTGCTTTCAATCGTTGGTAACATAATTTTCGAGCAAAAAACGTAAATTCAAATCTGAAGATCCAGTACTGTCTAACGTGTACGGTCTGTAGCAAACGGGGCCTCGGTTTATTGTCCCTAGTGTCACTGACAAGAGGAAACCGGTTATTTTCACTGCAAGATTTGTAACCTGTGCAAAATGTATAGGAAAACTTAAATTCCATTTAAGATCAATTCAACCTAATTAGAGGTTAACTTTTATTGCTGCTGTGAATCGGAAATTCTTAAGTCAATGTACGCTGATTGCATAATGATTTAAGATGTCGACCACAAAACTTTATAAATAAGCCTTACGTTAACCATTTGTTGGCTTCTTATGGAAATATCATCATGTGAAAACCAAGGAAAACAAAAAAACCACCAAGTGGCAAAGGAAGAATCTTGGTGGTTATACATGAGAAGGAAACGGAACAATGTGAATCTGAAATCATTTTTTAGGCTTAATGATACCATTCTACTTCTATCGAATTCCCAGAAATATATAAAAATGCAACACTTGATAAATATTCATTTTTTATTGATATACAGACAGAATTAATGATGAGTTATAACTTGTATTCTCTCTAGCAACACTTTCAACAGTGTTCAGTTGACAAGGGAGACATTTCATTAACCTCTTAACCAAACAGGTAACCATTAGGTATCGAAAGGTCCTTGGTGTATCCTTTTTTGCTGAAGAAGGGCCTATTATAATCCTACTTGACGACTTTAAGATACAACCGGAAGTTGGCTAACGTTCCAGAAGTGAATAACACGCGGAATTTGTATCTATCGCAAATGAGGATTTCAGCCTTCAGATTGGATATAATTAAATATCGGTTTATCTTTCACGCCTAAAAAAGGAATCTGCTTTATGAATATAATTGACATACGAGGTCGAAACTTCAAACAGAATCTTTCAGTTCTTTTACCACCGTATCAAATATAGTGTCATCATTAGATGAGAAAAAAGCAAGTTAAAAATAATTACCTGATGAAGAATAATGATTGAACATGGATTAGAAGATTACTCTAGCTCAATATCTGCTCTCAAACATTAAAATAACACGACTAGATTACTTTTGTCGTCTGGGCCAAACTCATCATTTCATTTGCTTTTAAGTTCCTTTGATGAGATGATATTGGCACGATTTGATTTGTTTTCAGATCTTAGTAGATTAACAGACCATTCCATGCAAACAACATCTTAAGAGAATTTGTAATTATTATTTTACGAGCGGAAATGTTGTAAAGCTCTTGTATGCTTATATAAAGTGCCTTCAAAGAATAAGCTCCGCGTAAAAGTATAACAACAAAGGATTTTATTTTCGGCAACAGTTGGAGCGGAAAAAAAAAGCGGAAAAAAAAAAAAAAAAAACAGTTGGAGCGGAACAATATTGAATTTCTTAAGTTGTTGATACAATGGCGCCAAGACTCATATTCAGATTGAATTTTGTAAAACAGATATATCCAAATAAGGGTGTTTTAGAGAACAAATCGTCCTGATACGACATAATATTATCTCCTGTTTTAAATAACCAAAGTTTTTATGGTGTGAAATCGTGCTGCATTATTCAATGTTATGATGTAGGCTGAAGAATACCTTGCTCAAGAAGCATAATGGCGTGAAATGGGTGTCGACATATTTATAAAAATGCTTTCAGTGGAAAGAAGTTGAAATTGGAAAAAGGACAATACATTGATCAAATGATATAATGATATTCTGTAGAAGTTCTGGTGGAAAGAGTAAGGTCTACCTTAATTACGAAATAAACATATAATAGAATACTAAGCTATGTTAAAATATGTTTGGAACAAGCTTTTATCGGGGTAACTTGAATGATATTTTGAATTTGTCAAGTATGTGAAGTAGCTTATTTGCTCGCAGCAGAATCAAATGAAAGTTGTACATCCACACTGCTTCATTGTCTCAAAATAACAGATATTTTCCTACGCTTAACCAATTGAACTGACTTCTGTAGAATAATAACACGGTGCCATCTCTCCCCGGAGATTGAATCCCGGATGCCGTGATGACGCCGTTTTACTGACAACCACCCTGCCCCAAAATGTAAAACTTCATTACCTTTATACTATGTTACATCAGTGTCCCGTTTTCATTTCATCACTGGATAGAAAGTACCATATATTTAATGCAGTAGCCTTGAGACAAGCAATATAGAGTCGCAATCATTTTGTTGTTGGTTTTAACCCTTGAAGCTTGAGATTACAGTAATTATTTTCTCCAAATATGGAACCAGTAAATTGATATAATTAGATTATACAAGACGTATAGGAAATGAAATATTTAATAATGAATTTCTTGTAGGGAGAAATTGTTTCTGACATTCTGATGCTAATTACCCATATCGTATTTCCAGTATTTTAAATTGTATATAAATAAGTCCTATTGATCGAGGACATTATGTATAAATTGATCTTCAAGACGGGTGTATTCAGATCTTTTAAATCAACTTCATGATCTAGCAAATTAATATCTTGGAATTTCATAACAATGGAATGATTTCATACATCATTTCATTCTGTACCATTTATCAATGTTGTTTTGCTTTAATAATATTCATAATTGATCATTTGATCTGGACGATTCCCACAAGATTCAATATCATATAGGAGGAAGTTATTTTATATAATATGTGCAGCATTTTTAGTCACCTATGCACCGTACACAAAGGTCAACTTTCAACGCTTGTCATATTTCAAGTAAAAAATTGATATGTTCTTGGCATCCGATTCCAGAAATGTTCCATGAAGAAAATCTGAAAATCTTTTCAACTCAAAAATCTTAGAAGTTTTAATGAATGTGAATCAAACTGGCTTGAAACTTTGAATATGAATTATTGACTGCCGCGCATCATTACTTCTGTCGGTTACTGCCCAGTGACTGTGTAATGAAACAGGGCTTCACAGTATTGACAACGAATAAATGAATGATCAGCCTTCTAATGACTTTTGACTGAAGCGGTTTGTGAGAATATTCAATAGCAGATTTCGAAACAAATTGTAAACACATAGTGCTGCAAATCATCTGAATATTACAGATTTTAACTTTCATTTGTAAAAAGCACCATTTATTGTCTAGGGTGGAAGGTGTCCACTTGTTGGGGGGAGGGGGGAGGGGGAGGGGGGGAGAAGGTGTTTTGAAGTTGCTTCGACGACCAGTTGTCACCGTGATTCTGGTATCAATATAATCCCGAGAGACGACATGCACTATATAGCGGTCTCTTATGAGGCTTTATGCATTCAATCGACATAGGACAATGCTTTCGGGCCTTCCTTTTGTCGTTAGACCTACATCATATTATTTCCACAATGAAACAGAGTTCGAGGTATTTAACCCAGAAGTCATTAGTATTGATATGTAACTGTAGACCAATAATGATGTATTGGTTGAAATACAGTAGCAGACATTCCAATTCCCGGTACAATAGCTCATAACAAATAACCTTCTCCACTCTAAAAATGTAAAATGGCACAGAATTGTTTGATTAACAATATATGAAAAACACAAACCCTTTACCACCGGAACTGTCCTATCTTTTCGTTAACAAGACATTAAAGAACTCTCACGAACAATATAAACTGAAGGCTAAAAGAAAGTTTACCAAGGTTTGAAAACACCTAAGATAAAAACAACACAATATAAATGATTGCATTGAAATGTTTTAAACAGATTGATAAATCAGCGAAACGAAGAATAAATGGCAAACGTCAAGTTTCCGGTTATGGCGTCAAAGTTTAACAGAGTGAAATGGGGTACAAAAAACGGGCTTTCAACTTTACAATGCAAACGGAAAACTGCTGCAAGTTCACATTAGTAGCGTGTTTGACCACTCAGAGCTTCAGAGGCCAAACACATAAAAGTTAATCGTCTGATTAGGTCAAAATGGATAGTCGCCTTTCCTCCTGGAGAACCTGGATGAGTTCTTGTCGATTGATAGGAGGGCTGACGAACACGCCGATCCCTGATACCCCAGAGTCGTTCAATCGGGACATGTCGGGAGAACCATGGTATCGGCAAAACCTTTGATATTTTGTGACATGTTGGAGAAATGGAAGAATGTCATCGATGTAAGCCTGGGCCGTTAAGTTGCCATTAACGATAACCAATGGAGTTATGTCCTGCCCACAGATTCCTCCCCACACCATGACACTCGGGTATAATTCCTACTTTTAATGTGGTAAAATTTCTTTTGGCCTTCAGTGTATTTTTCAATAATCTTATTCTTGCACCTTAAAAGATCCAGTGGACACAGTGTAATAGTATGTAAGAAACTCTTACGTCAACTTATGGCTGCATATGTAACACAAACTTTCACCACTTTTTATTGGCATTATCTATTATGTATGGAAGGTCCAACCCACAGCAATCAATTACAAATAATGGATATGAAATCAGTCAAGAAGTAGGCCAGATAATTGACATTTATTTATATCTGACACTGACATTACAAATGACCATTGTTTCATCTGATTACCCACATAATAATATAAATTTTTATCATTCTGTTTCATAACATTTTATGTTTTCTTTGAGTATGATATTGAAGCTATATCAACTAGCTGAAAACCTGAACAGAGCTACAAGTTACATATATAAATTGTACCACAGTCTTTGGAAAGTGGGTGCAATTTTTGATCCATAGAAACCGAAGTAATATGAGTAAATTTTAAATCATTAAAAGTAATTTCATAATGTGTAACCAGTGTTTTGGTCTGACGATGCTCATTGTTAAAATAATGGTCCAAACGTTAATAAGAAAGCGATATTATGTGAATAGTAACGTAAATCAATTACTCGTTTTCATTCATGTCATATTTTAATGGTCAAAATGTAAATTACAGTATATAAGCTATATATGGTTTAGTTGGTATCATACTAACCATTTTGTCAATAAATATGCCGATCGAGTATAGAATATGCACATGTGCATGTAGTGTATACAAATAAAGATTTGAGATTAACCGCAGTGGAGAATTTTTAAAATAGCTAACAACTATAATTAATGATAGTGATGAAGTAAAACAGTATTCTAAAAAATGAGGTATGGAGATAATTTTATATCAGTTTAGCCTGCTGGTTGAGCTGAAAATATCGTTTTCCCAATAATGCACCTAATTTGTCACCATAAATTAGTTTTTCAATGACTCTAAGGCTGTCCAGCAGAATCCAGGATCAGGATCTGATACAATTTCTTTAACCAGGTCACAGCAGAAGAACTTCAAGTTGTAATCATACCAAAATATTTGTGAACATATTTCAAACAGTATTTTCACACCTGTCAAAAAAGCTAAATCGATGAAGTAAATTGTTCAGGATTCAAGATAGACAGCTTTTAAGGCACATCTATTTCTATGAAAAATTGTACGCAGTCAATTGGCAAACGAACCCAAGGAATATTTTGGACTATCGCAATGTTTGTATACCAATTTATCAACAGATCAAATCATTACTGCTATCATTTTTCTGTCCCATTCTTTTGATTGTAAACACTGTAACATAAATCTTGCTACATCAGCTCTGGGCATACCACCACGTGCATCGGGTACAAACTGTCCTTCATTAGTCTTTATATCTTTGCCTGAAAGTAGGAAGAGGCACATATGATATGTGCTTGAGAGTAATTTTAAATGAAATGAAACGGTGCAAATATGGAATCTAGTTGCCTCATCTAAAATTATTTTTTTTCAATAACCTCCCTTGAACTAGACGATCACGAAGCGAAATTGAGGGATATATAAATAATAAACAAACCTGTAGCTTCTGTATTCAACAATTTGGGTGGTCTTACAACAGTATAATTAATATCTTGACATTCTGACAGTAAATAATCCTCCATTCTTGACATATCTGCTAAAACTTGTCTCAGAAACAGTGGTCGAAGAATCCAGGCAATAGCCCATGGTTCACCTTCTGCAGCTGGATAAATCAAAACAATATGTTTATACGAGTTTTTAGAATTGTAATAATTTCTTCCATTTTCAAATATGTCTAGACATTAAAAGACGATGTCAATTTTGTAACATTGCTCCATCTTCGCTCATAAAGTTTGGTCCAAATCTAACGATCGGCTTTGATGAACCAATATGACGTTGGCTTTAAAAGACCTTTGGCGATGAACAGTCAGCCACCATTTGGAATTAAATCTATACTGTATATGATCTCATTGCCTTAAAGATCAACTTAATCGTTGTTTTACAGGACTTACGTTTTGTTCCCCACGCTGTCATACAGACCAATCTAGTAACACCTGTCTTTCTCATGGCGGCCACCATGGCACGTGTAGTATCGGTGTACAACGTAACAGTGGTAAGGAAGGAAGGTCTGGAACCTAAGCATGACATCACAGCATCACATTGTTTAAAAAATGGCGCCAGATCTTCTTCCTTTGTTACATCTACCTTTTCTACCTACAACACAATAATTCTGAAATTCTGAATGCATTAATGCTACGCTTCTTATTTTGTTGTCTTCAAAGCGTATGCTAATATGAAAATAATAAATATAGAGTTTTACTCCATACTGTTCCTTGCTGAATTGGGATGATCAAGACGGGCAACGAGAAGGTTAATAATTATTCCATGATATTCCAATTTGTGGCCGATTTTTTTCTCTTGATGATAAAGCACACATACTTCCTGGTTTTATCTCACCGGATGATAGGCTAATGACCATCGTGTCCAGGGGTCAGATGTTTGGGTTGGTAGGAAGATACCGAGCATCCTTATGGTTATCACTCTTAGTGCATTTACGTCAATGGTGTGATTTGAATTGGGCGTTTTTACATTCACCGAATTCTGATTCTGTGGACAAAGTAACCATGATTCGGTTCACAGAAAAATGGATTCGGGCCAAGCTATCATAAATATTACAGTATATAATACAAAGCAAAACGGAGATCTATAAATATTTCATGGGAGAAATATGTAATTTTAACAGCCCTTTTCTGTCCTTTAACAAATACAAATAGCCGATTATATTCCACCCAATCTCAGTCCACGGTGTACAGCCTTACAAATACAGCACTAAATACATTTTCTAATATTGTTAATAATAATGTGAATTCATACAATTTGAGTCTGGTTTTACTTCAGCTACATTTATTAGTATTTTGCTGTATATATGTATTTTTTGATATAGCAGTTTTGATGCGGAGGTTCTTGAATACATATATTTCTATATTTATACGCCTATAAACGAGTGTCACAATATAATATGTCGCTCCAATAATTTGTCATAAAGTGTGTCGTGAGCTCTATATTTGCTATGGGTCTATTACATTGTAAATGTAAAATGTGTAGGTTATCTCTTAAAATCTGTTTCTTACCTAAAATTAAACTAAAAAAAAAGATAACTTACCCTTAACTGTTCATGTTTAGTTGAAATACCATCAGGATTACGCACTAAAGCCAGTACCTCATGACCAGCTTCTAAAGATTGTTGAACCAAAGCTTGTCCAGAAGGACCCGTCGCTCCTAAAATAGCTAATTTCATAATAAGTGACTGTGGACTATAATTTCACTGATGAAATCCAACTACATGTATATTAACGAAGTTCTTATATAAAAGTAAATGGTGTAAACGATTCAATCATATGGTGATCACGTGGTCCTATACCGCCGAAACGTTAATAGATAAAACAGTTCATATTATGTTTATTTATACAATTGTATGAAACAATAAACATTAAATACAGTCTTTGCAACTATACAGTATGTTTTCATCTGTTTTCTCTAGGATGCATACTTAGAGGCATTTAGGAAATAAATCAATCAGCTAATTACTAGGTGTTCAATTGTTATCATAAAATTCACTAATGTTTTAAAAGTCCATTATTGATTTCAATTTTTAATGATATATATATACAATATAAGTAGTTACTTGTTACATTAGGTATTGACAAATCTCATTGATATGTTTGATTAACATTGTCTATAGTAATGTAGTAAATATTCTAATAAATTTCCTTTCATTGAGCTATAGATATCGACTTTTAAATTTGTATGAGCGGTCATCCTTATTCAGTTAAATCCTTCAAACAACGGCCAGTAGTAAATCAAAATATGCAATTTTCAAACAATTTCAGTAAATGAATATTAAGATTATAACTTCATGATTTTGAAAATAATGTACGTATCAATTTATCTTTGAATTCAAATTTCTTAAACTTTTTGTTAAAGGCAGCTGAATTTGGCCTTTCCAACCACTATAACAAATTTATAGTGGGCTGAGTCAATTGTCAAAGGAAATATCAAAAGTTAGAATGGATTAATAATCAGGACTATATAAAGACCACAGTTTTGTTGACCCATAAATACTATGACTAAATTGTAAATGTCATAACACATCCTACATGAGAAATGATTCGTCTGTAGATAATTATTAAATTTATAAAAATAATAAGGATGTGGGTATATTAAATTATCTAGTATAATTATAATGAATGGTTTTGACTTATATGAAAACCAATGCATCTCATTTAAGAAGAGAAACTAATTTTTTGTGGCATTAAAAATATTTTCTAACCACTCGAAGATTCCACTGATTATAGTGGCCTATTTCGATTCCATATTACCACCATCGATTTTGGATGGGTAAGATGTTACCTGGTGTAAATAATGTTTATGGTGTATACACTTAATTTCCCAAATATTGATTTCTTGAAATTCTAGAAAATCCTGATCAGATTATGACGCCCCTATCTCAATATTTAGCTGGAGACTCTTATTTCAGCAAGAGTAGAAAAGTAAGGTTGGGAATGGCAAAATGAAAAGAAAAATACGAATTCTAGTTCCCCTACCATCTTATAAAACGTACTTTAGAAATTTAAACTGTAGTCCCCTTCGTGGAGTCCCATATTATGTAGCGACAGTCTAATCTTTTCGAGGCATTGAATTAAAATTCTGCTAAAAGTATTGCACATAGTTGAAATCGAGTTCTGAAAACTGACAATGAAATATTAAAAAGTGTATCCCTTTAAAATATGTATTGAATGAGAAATTGACCTGTCATAGTGACTGGATTCGAAATGATTTCAAATTGAGATGGGGGTATAAAATAGTCCCATATCAAGGATAGATCAGTACGGTTACGCCTATATGACAAATAGACAATCCTGTAGGCTTAGTTTCAAAATAAACAGACTCCACATTGAAATCGTCTGGGCTACGTGATTCAAGTCATTTCCATCTTTCAAACAGATTTTTATACGAGCAAAATAATAAAGTATCAATGTATTTGACACCTGGTTTTATTTATTGTTCTAGTTGATAAAATGTTGCATGCTTGATCCGATAACAGATACTAGATTTGAATAGATTATTATTGTAATGCCAAGAACTTACATCTTCCTCTGATTTTGTCGTTATCGTTTCTCGACTTTTCTTAAAGTTTTTATGTCACAGTTGGAATTTTCGATAAATCAGAAATGTGAAATGGTCATGCGTATTGTCAGCTGATATAACTTGATTTTAAGTATCATTTAACAGTTCAGGATGAAAATATTATGCCCAGTGTCGCTGGATGAATTGTCAGGTCGTCGACTGGCGAGCGATTCAAAGCATCCTATCGAAATTGATGTACACGAAAAGCCCAGGTAAACTAAATTGCAGTTGTTGAAATCCAGTTGCTCGCAAACTCTGCCAGTCGCAAGGCCAAATTAAGTTCTGGAAACTGCTTTTGATTAATAACAAACTGTAAAACTATATTTTATTCAAGATTCAAAAGATATTTGTTTTAAAAATGTTGTAATATGATCGATCATAGTTAAACCAGCATCAAAACCACCATCACCTATCATAGTTAAAACACCATGAAAACTGTCCGGTAGATGGCGCCAGTCACTTTTCACGCCTGCTTTCAATAAACGTTTATGGTAGATAATACCATCATCGCGAAGATGGTCTAACTGAGTTGTCACAACTAAGGTCTGTGGTAAATTAGAGAGAATTTCAGACATGAGGGGTACAAAATATGGATCGGAATATTTCTCTTCTAAATATTTGGCGTCTTCATGAGCTGGATCTGATGTTATGTCAGTCCTTTTATATCCATGAGGAATAAGTTGGTGAGGTAAATAGTTGTAATTTACAAATCGTTTACATTTTTTAGTCAGTTCTGGTGAAGAGTAGTTTCCCTTTGCTATAAAGTCTCGAAACCGATCAGGTATACCTAAAGCCATGACGGCCATTTCAGCAGCGAAAGCTCTTCCATCAAATAGATACCGTGTACCCAATAGATTACTGGGTGTATATAAATCACAGGCCTGTAAAACAGGGTAGATTAATACTTGTCCTAGTAGTTTAGGTTGTATGTTATCATCTCTCAGTTTTAAAGCTACTGCAGCAGCTGTATTACCACCAGCACTATCTCCTGTAACAAAAATACAATATGGTATGCTCTTGACGTGAATCCAAGGAGATGATAGAAAATCGTTTATTATCCTAATCGATATCCATAAGTAAAGATGAACAAGCCGAGAAAATCAATAGGTAAATATGAAACGAGTCATATAGCTAACCTGGGTAATTCCAGAAGGGAGAAAATGGCAAAGACAGCTTCCCGCGTGTAGAATCAGCGATTTCAGCCTAATACCCCAACCCACAAAGATCACTGACTTCATTGAGGGACAAGACATATTCAAGCGTGCAGCATCTGGTAACTTAAAGGTCAAGATTGACCATTTTCGGGGGTCAATCATACCTTGATGTGTTAGCAGCTTATCCACACACCCTATTTCCCTAACAAGACCAAAAATTTTCAGGCAGAGGATATATATTATATCATTTTGAAGATGCCATACCTCCAATGGAAACTTTTAATGGATCTATTCCTAATGATATTGCGTTCTGTAAAATAAAACGAGTAGCTCTATAAACGTCATTTAAGGCTGCAGGATAAGGAAACTCTGGTATAAGTCGATATCTGAAATATCAAATGCGGAAAGATCAAATGAAATGAAATGTGGTTTTACGTCGTACTTTTCTGCACCACGTGGACTAATGAAGACGGGCAACGCCATGCAAGGTACAATGAGGGAATTTTGCCAGGACAGCCGCATTCGCCTGCTTTTTTTCGATTTCCAACTGTCGAGGGATCTTTAACGTCCACAGACTGTAGCGCAGGGGCCTCGATTTATTGTCCCATCCGAAGCGGAAAGATCAAGGGAGGTGATACGACATAAAAGTAAATCAAGGGATTCTTAAAAAGGTACTGAAAAGTAGGTGGTGCGGAAAAAAAAAGTCAAAATTGACAAACCGGATTAACGCATACAAATATACAAAAAATCATAAAATAACCAGATGCCGACTGCTACCTAACTTCAGAATACAGAATTGTAGCTGTTTATTAGAAGCTAGAATTTAACACTTACTCGACAGCAATAACTGTCATATTTGTATCTTGTGCTATTTTTGCAGCTACTCCGTCATAGGAATCTAAAATTAATTCAAATAAGGTATATAATTTTATAGCGAGATAAATGCTATAAGCGACCAGTCTGTGTAGTGTAGTTGGCACGGATAATAGTGGAGGCATAGGAGGGTGCGGGGCTTTGGTCGGTCAGCGGTCAACACTGCACTGGGGCAGCGCTGATAGTAATTGTTTCATACCTTTCTAACAGAGACAAAATATATTTACCTATACTGTATACAAATCCACCACCATGTATAAAAATAAAGCAAGGGAGATAATCGTGTTTATCTTTAGGTTTATAGATTCTGGCTGGAATTCCATCTAATGTTACGTTTTTAACCTGGAAAGAGCATAAAAAATTTATTTTTTTTAAATTCAATTGTGATCCAAATATATAGGAAGGGGACATACATGATAGGATTGCTATTGGGTTTGGTGACGTCACAACATACGTCTTGTATTATAGAACCGGGCATAATATACTTATACAAAAGAAGTACTTACGTCTAAATATGGATTATTAATAGATGTTCCATGAGTCAATAAAATACTATCTAATAAGTACCGCGATATATGTATACTTCGATATCCAAATAAACCACATAATTCACCCTGAAATTATTGAGAAATTAAATCATGTAGGCTAGTAATCTCGTTTTGGATAAGAGGTAATATAACATCTTCACAATATCAAGCTATTGAACTTCGTATTTATACCTTGACTGCAACAGTCACCTTTCTTGTATCATGGAAGTTTGTAAATGAAGTGGTTTTATTACGTTGCAGATCTGATACTCAACAGAGAGTCTGTGAACACAAAGCTATAATGTTTACAGCCTTTCTATTGAGGGCAGTGATTGGATGTATTCGCTGGTAGCAATCCAATCAAATCGTTGCATTCCGTGAACAAGAATAGTGGTTATTGCAGTCAAGGTATAAATACGAAGTTCGTAATAGCTCGACCAGATCTAACGAAGAATCAACAACCAAACCAACAACACAGAATCATCCAATTTGAACCAATCCAACTACCAACTACTACGACTACCAACAACTACCTAGTTTGCGATATCAGCATCCGCTGGAAGCGAACGTTAACTTGTCATCTACTTACCTACCTAGCTTGACATTGTGAAGATGCAATAGAAAGGCAAGATACTGCCATATATGATTAAATATAAAATGAATTATTAATTAACAATTACATTTTGTAAATGTGATGTAAAGTACCTAACCATTGCATTTATCAAGTACAAGGTAATAATGAAAGTAAAACAAACGGACAATCAAAATCAAAACTTACTGTTATTATAGCCAATTTGGATTTAGCGTAATATAGTCGAAGGTTCCATGGTTGTTCCATACCATCAGGAAGGGGTGTGTATAGTATTACACCTAGAAAGGCTACAGCTAGAGCCGATAATATCACCACCCCTTGTTTTAATATTCTCTTTCTATTGGACATTTTGACTGAAATACAATTCAAGTTCAATATCAAACAGGTGGATGCATTGTAAATCTGTTAGAGGTCTGTTTAACATTGTTATTAGGAGATAATTAATATCACCGGTTATACTTCCGAAATATAGATCCTTGTTAGTATGGCAAATCTCACTGTATATAGAACCAAATATACATCATCTTTTGATCAAATTTCTGTTATATAAAAGTTTAAATGATAATATTCACTTGCGAACATAACCCCAATTTACGTGTATGAATTCACAATAAGTGTGACCTCCGTGAGCTTCCATACATCATAAATAAGTGGGTCATACACATACATGCAATAGGCCTATAATTATATTAGGCCAGCATAGAAAACATAATCTAACCATGACATAGAAGAATGTTCTTGTCATCTTGTAGATATAACTTGAATATTTTCATATAGCAAGTGCAGAATAACCGAATGGTGTTGATAATACTTTGATTTTAAAGATTTTCTGTGAACTTGAGTAGATGTTTTGTGTTTCATAGTGAAATGTCAAATGACACACAAATTATCAGTTCGTCCTTTGTTACTGTAGTTTAACCATAATTCAAAATAAACAAAACCCGGAATGAAGGAAATCATAAAGGGAAGATAGACATCATACTTACGAGCCAGAACACTAGCTGCAAATGACTAAAGTTTGTTGTGCTTCAATGACCATTATTGTCTATATGGTGGACCATTGTTGACATATTATTATACAATAGAAACTTTTATATCATTTACAAAAAAAGATCTTAGTAGATTGTTGGGTGGGCTACATTGATAAGAGAAACGCCCCAGGGAAACTACCCTAATGATCGTATTCAAATTTTGCCGAAACAACAACCGAACTAGGCTAGATCATTCGGGAACATATCAACTACTCAACAGTCAGTCAGGTATCCATTGAGTCTCGTTCATAAACATTGGATGATTTTAGCATCTATTCGGGCCTAGTTTTACTTACCAACCATTGATTTATCACATAAAAAGATATTAGATCACCTTTTCGGTTGAGTTACTATAGAACTGTATTGAAATCGCATGATCTCTTCAGATATACTTCAGAATATAAACTTGACCTTTTTTCTATATGTTTTCTCTTTAAATTACGGAATAACAAGAAAATACGAGTCGTCTCATTTACTTTCAAACGCTGATAATTCTCCACATGGATTAGAAGGTTCAATTTTAAACGGTGAGCTGTGATTACTGATTAGCTTAACTAAATTTTCCTTTTCTAAGACAAATGAACGATTAATCAAGCCGTATAAGCCGATGGCAATCGAATGTGTCCCTTTAAAATCAAAAACAGCGCTGTGCCAGTTTGGTATGTCGTTTTAAAAAATGAGTAATTAACAATGTGGTGAGGTAGGTCTGATTGTAATAACGGGACTTCTACTATATATATATCTATTTTAGGATATTGGAGACCTGGTATATATTTTTGTTGACATCATTGAACCACTAATTGGTTTTGTTATCTTCTCTCTTATTGGCTGAAGAAAGTTCGTATATATTCGAATGTAGTTATCCAGTTACCATTTATCAATTAGAAATTAAACTTGAGAGTCGGTCTATTACTTTTATATCTTTCATTAGTTTAACACTTTGAAAATATACTTTTGATATTTGATATAATTGGTTAACATGGAATTCAACAATAAGCTGCAAAATTTTTATTCCACAATCTTGCTCCATCTTTGCTCAAGATATTCTTATTTCTCTTCAGATGAAAGATTGATATTTAACTGTTACTGTTATTCACAGAATGATAACGGTGAGAATCTCGTACGACCCAGAAAGGAGTTGAGAGTTTAAAAATATCAAGAGATCTGTGGTGTAGAAAAGACAACATCAGACGATAAATAGGAGCAGAAAATCAGACAGTTCCTAACTGTAAGTTTAACTTCAATGATCTAATCACCATTAGCAGGCATACAGAGAAATCGTTTCGGAAGATATGGCAGCTTGATGTCAGATTATCTAATGAGTCTGAGAAAGACTGTAGCTTCTCTAATTCTGATAGCGTTAGAACCAAGATCCCTATTCCCCGTCAGAAATATTACCGAAAGTTTTGGGCCACCCTTCTGACCACAAGCAGACATGACCACAATCTCGTTTACAGTTCGAATATGCCGTATCAAAGATTGAATTTGGAAATCTTGAGTTTAATCAATTCGTAGCGGGAGAGTTAATTCTAATTTATTGTAATTGTAAATGAAGAATATTGCATATTACACAGAAGTGGAATGGCATCAACAAATAGTTTTATTCTCACGTAATCAGACAAAATAGAAATGGGAGCAAGTTCTGGCCTGATGACTTTGGTGAATTTGTAATACCTCTCATGATCTGCTACATTGCTAGGATTTGAACACTGCGGGGAAAAGTCTAGCGGAAAACTAAAGGACGAAACATTACTTAAATGTTAAAATGTTAACATTATCAAAGAACATGTGTGTCAGTACAACAAGTCGTATATGGGAAAGGTGGTTGCTAATGGTAAAAATAAATTTCTACAGCATATATTATATGCATCCTGCCGGATAAAAGAAAGCGCAAAATTGGCGCCAAGAATCATACGCGGCTCCTTAAGACCATCAATCCATTGCCATTTGCCAAAAGTTGTGAAATTTTTTCTATAGATTCTTACGTGATGCTGGTGGCTATGATGATGACTGATCGTGGTATTTTCTTCAACGAAGAAAATTTTTCACGATCGAATAAACGATTTGAAAATCAGTTTAAATCTGTGTTAACACGTCATCAAGATAAGGAAGAAACTGTTGAAGAATCCATTTTGACTCATTGGCATTGCAGACCAAGGCATTAATTGAAAGTACCATGAGGTGATCACGAGTCATCAACAGCCGTCTTTTGAATTACAAAGGCTATAAAATAGGGCTAAATCATTTTTTGGGTATATCCATAAACCCATCTGTCTGGAATAAAAAGCTTAAATTTTATTCAGTATAATAATGAACAACAACATTACATCTACAATAAACTGTAACAAACAGTGAAAACATATTTAGTTTAAACCCATACATAGGGATATAACCCCTAATTTTATAATGGGATATATTGCTAAAGGACTGTAGTATATTCGTGACAAAAAACAAAAACATTTTCACATCCAAATCACAACTGAAATGTTGTTATATAAAGGGAAGTAAGAAAATATAGTGTAAATGTTTGAAAATCTTTGATTGAAGCAGCAAATGATAATCACACAGCTCAATATACTGCATGTAAAATAACAGATTGTTGCCTAATATGTCTATGGTGCAGATAGAATGAAAAAAATAATACATCACATAATATATATATAGATTTCTATATATATACTAACATTAAAACAATCATTGCTGTTCTGATCATTATCAATTCTATAAGAATCAAGATCACATTGACATACTGGTAACAATTATTCTAGACTTTTCTTAATACAATGTTAAACTAGTCAAATACCAGACACAAGTATTCAATACTTCAAGATTCCACTGGGAAACGTCCAGAATAATTAAATATAGATTAGTCTATGAGAACATTTAAACAATATAAAAATATATATAATTGCCATTGTTAAAATATATCCGTTAATAAACGCCTATATAATAAAGATTTAAAGTATTTACATCAATACTAGAGAAAGAAGTAAAAGAAAATTTAAAAGACGTCCAAGTATTTCTATTTGGCTATAAACGTTAAGAATCCACTTAGATAATAATGACCCCATATATTACCCAGGGTTTTGTTGAAGAGGATGAACCAGTTATCAACTTCTAGATTTTGTAATAAGAAATCCCAACATACGATTCAAAAGTCGTGTTAAAGACTGGTCATGAAGTTTTGATTGGAAATCAGTTTCTGATACAGAAGCAACCAAACTAAAATATCACTTTTGGTACCATAGTTGAAAACTTGTAAACTCTTCCTATATTCCTCATAACATATGAAATAAATACTGACAGAACCAAATCATTTATCTGGTGGGATCTATTCAATATCAAACAGAATAAAATATTTATATAGTAAGACAATTCAAAATATTGGAGTTCAGTGAAAGTATTGAGTGATATGTTATACAGATATAGTACGTTCACGTAATTCATGTGACTCTGGTGGGGGAATCACTTCACCATCTTCTATATTAATCTCTTGTACAGTACTAACAGCTTGATGTCTACCTTGTTGACGAATTAAGAGAGGAATGAAATATAACATGGCCCCACTAAATGCTATCATTGCTCCATTGACATTAAAACTTATATCATAACTACCAGTCCAATCATACATCCACCCTGCAATATAATAGTTATTTATGTGGTCGAAGGCAAAAAAAAGAGATAATTTGTAGATTTTAATATTTAATAATGTCAAATAACAGCAGTATTTTCTAAAAGATTAATGGGTGCAGGGACAAAAATTTTCCCACTAAACTGCATTCTTCTAGTCCTTCAATAAATAATTATGAAAAAGCATTACCTGCCATAGGCGGTCCAATAAATGTAGCAGCTCCTTGAAATAAGAGAAGTAAACCAAAGGAGTTGGTTAATTTATCTAAACCCAACAAATCAACTAATACAACAGACGTCAATGACACATACACACCTGAAATAAAGAGAATTATAAGTAAGTATCTTAACATTTTCATAAAACATGATTTATAACAATTGATGTATATATCCTAGATATTTGATGGATATGAAAAGAATAACCAACATCTGAATATATATATATATTTACATATTATGTTGATGCGCACTATACTCAGAATTATACAGTATCACAATGATATTAACAATTATTTTTATACTGTGCTGTACATAATTGATTTACATAGATACAAATATATATCTTGTATCATAGGAAGGCTCACATACACATAATTATCAAACTGCTATATAAAATCTATATCTGTATTCAATAACCTGTCACTTTGACAGTTTCTTTTGATAACTTACCAATAAATAATCCAAAAACAGCACAATATGCAACCAACCATGGGTAACTTCCACCACAAAATGGACTCAAAGCTGTAGCAACACCACAGATCGTTAAAGCTGTGTTATATAACATTAAACGATTCACTTCCTGACGATCTGACAGCCATCCAAATAACACTCGACCAATAGTATTAGCAATACCTATCACAGACAATAAAAAGGCAGCTTGGCTATCTCCAATTCCTGATTCTATTGCTCTATCAGGAATATATATGAAAGGCATATTAAATCCAATACTGGTGAAAAAATTAGAAATGGCAAACATTACAAAGACTGGATCTTTGAGAAGGGAAAGGTCTAACATTTGATGAATTGTATCTCGAAATTCTAATGAAGGTTTACAACAGTTACAGAATTTCCAGTCAGCTGTATTGTCGGCTAGTGATTCTGGTAATGAGACTACACTAGATATATACAGATCAGGATGTGATTTGAACATTGGTATATTCTGTAAACTAGCTTGATAAAACACATCTTTTCTCATCATAGGATGAACCATTGTAGAACCATGAGAGGTTTGTCTCTGATAGCGAATATGATGTAAGTTTGTAATTGAATTGGAAACTTTATGAATTGCTCCTTCACTCCTGGCAAGATTACTATTATTAATGGAACCATTCGTATTAGGAACATGAAGATGATGATGACTATTTGATAAGGCAACAGAATTCAAATGGGGAGCAAACTTTCGAGGTTTATAAATTGCACTTGATTTATCTGTCAGTAGTTCTTTTAATTCTTCAACCTTCACAGTACCAGCTTTTTTCTCAGGTTTGTTACTTTTCTCCAACTCTGATGCTTCTTTTTCCAATTTTTTCATTAAAATCTCCTCCTTTTCTTCTGGAACTTCTAAAGGTCGAAATAGAGCACCACAAATAACAATATTTAGAATCAATCCTCCTTGAATCAAGACTGCTCCTTTCCAGGTGTATGTATCCACAAGCCATTTTGAAAACGGAGCAAAGATGAAGGTACCAAAACCAGATCCACATACTGCCAATCCTGTAGCAAATGATCTTTTCTTCTCAAAATAATTAGAAACACATACAATAGCTGGTAAATAGATTAACCCAAATCCAACTCCTGTAAAAAGACAAATTAAAGCCTGTATTCATACATGTACATCAAAACAGATACATGTAGATAAATTGTCATCTAGCCTCTAAACTCATCACAAGCCACCATGTGAATTCTCAACAGCACTAGACACATAAAGATGCACTAGACACATAAAGATGCACTAGACACATAAAGATGCATTTTTCTTAAAAATTCAAAAAAATATTCAATGTTATTACCTGCCATTATTCCAAATGAAAAATACAAATAATATATATTAGGTGCAAATAAACTTATAATGAATCCAAGTGCTGCTATGACTGCACCCAACATAGTAACAACTCTGCAACCATAACGGTTTGTCAAAGCACTTGCTAAAGGTCCTGAAAAAATAAAGATAGTGGACCACAGCCATATACGCCCTTCACGGCATGCGCATGGTAAAAATGAAACATCCTTTTTAAGTTTCATCAAAATCAGTTGAAAACTAAGAGAATAATAGCATATTCAAGATTATGGGGCAAGGGCAATAACTCTAACTCTTTTGACGGTTGAAAATAGCTCAAATTCGAACTTGATTTTTTTATGAATATATATGCACGTACCTAATTTCATTTGATTCGGTTAAAAAATCTAGTTTTTAGAGCGTTTACAAGCAAATGTTGGATGGACGGACGGACTGATGGAAGGACATAGAGAGATGTGGGCGTATAAAAACCGAAATAAATGATCATTCTGGTAAATACTGTTTTGTGTTGGATATTCAAATAGTCAGCTTAATGTTAAAATATATTTTATCAATATTTCATTGTTATCATATAGTGTATTTTGAGAAGAGTTAAAGGAATAAACATTTGCTTCGTCAGCCAATAGGCTAAAGCTTAAGCTTATTTCAGCATGTCAATTTTCGTTGAATATATAAATATGTTAAAAACATGACATATAAACACAATAACATTATCTAACACATTTAAGAGGATCTTGTATTTCATCAAATAGGTTGTTCATTAAAATTTATATCCGAAAATTATCTTTTTATCTTATCATACACCTTGTTTTTAAAGATCAGATTCTTTGACTTAATTATGATAAAAAAGATTAGAATTACAACCAATGTCTGTTGTTAAAAACACAAGGTCCTAAAGAAAATTAGAAGAAGAAAAACACTGCATGGAAACTATGTTTCTCTTGTATTATCAAGAACTTCAATTATACATGTATTTACTTATTAGTTGTTTATATCTGAGATGTTTCTAGGATGTTTCGAAAATATAAACCATCTAAATATTATTGATCTAACAAACAGAATTCTAACTTACCAACAGAATAAGTGACTGCTGGAACTAATGAACCAACCCATGCTGTTTCTCCTTTTCCTCCTTTAAAATACTCTAAAAATTCAATAAAAAATACTCCAAATGAGTAAACAATACCATCAGCTATAATATGAACCACAAATGATGAGAAAACCACCATCCACCCCCAACCACCATCTGGTAAATGAGGAACATCCTCTTGTACATCATTTACTTCAGCATCACCAGCTGCTAACTCTCCTGAGTCTTTCTTGATGTGCTGTCCTTTACCCATATCTTTAACCTCCTTCATAGATTCTAATGTAGTCTTTTGAGGTATTTTCTGTCTGAACTGTTTCTAAAGCGTTTATTAATCTCTTATTGCCAGTCTGCATCACTGGAGGACTCCTATTCTGCTATCTTTAATCAATTCTGTGTAAGTAGGATTTACTATAATATATTTGATCTGGTTCCTAATAATGGACCAGCTCTCGATCTGAAAAATGAAAAAAATAGAGATTAAAGAACAATATCTATACATTAGTCTGAAACATCAGTTCAAAATTACAATCTATCAGATTTCACAAATAGGCTACAATCTTTGATGCTAGACCTCAAATGGCTACCACTCTTTAAAGGACAGCTAGTTTCATCCTATTCTTGCTTATGATACCTTATGAGTCAAATAATGTTCAATTATAAAATTTTTATCTTATTTTACTATCCAGTTGAAGGCTTAGATAACTTTCAACAATTCAATTACAGCCCTGGGTGTAGTTTTTACTTCATTTCTTGTTTTGTTGACTAATGTCGCCATGAATTGTTAGATTAACAGAGCATAACAATAAAACTGTAAGTGAAATATTGTTTATTTAGCAAGTTATCATGTAATACCTTCATAAAACTATATCTCACAACTTGGGTAATAACTAAAAAATAACTTGACAAATGCCAGAAAATAAGAAGAGATAAAGATCACATGGAATCATATACATATAACATAAGCCATATGTCATATACCCTTATATTGTCAATATATCATATATATATATTTATTTTCAAATTTGTATGTAAGAAGACACCCAAGACAGTCAGTTTTAGACTTACGGCAATAAAAAGAGAACATAAAATGTGTTTATCAACCACAACATGTTACTGCCAGTGCCAGATTTATCAGTATTTTTAAAAGTGATGATTCTTAAACCATTCAGTATACTTCCAACCTTGCTACACAATATATGAGCATAAAAATTATATAACATGTTGATACAGCAAAATAACAGATAAATATGTACATTTATAAAACTGATTTTTCAAGCAAAAATTTAATTAAACAATATCAATAAATCTTGTTGTTTAATCAATATTGTCAGACAGAAAATAATCAAGTTTCCAATAAATACTTTAATTATTCATTAAAAGTACAGTCAAGGACATCTCAAATTGAAAATAAATGTTATTGAACAGAAGATTGTGCAATAAATCATGTCTGATGTTATGTTTCATCACGCAGACAATACGCAGTTCAATTTGACGATTTCCTCATGAAATGTTCAAATAAGGAACTTTAGCTTTATTGTGAAATTCAAATTTAATCATTAACTGTGATTTAAGTTAATGTCAGACATGGAATTAGATTGACATTTGAAACACAAAATTCATAGATACAAGATGACATTGAGACACAAAATGCACAGATACAAGATAACATTGAGCCACAAAATGCATAGATACAAGATAACATTGTAACCAAATAGATAAACCAATACAACACCCAAGCAGCATGTAGACTAATCCAACATTCTAATAACTAGATTTGAAAATTTCACACAAATTATTAGCTATTCCACAATTTTTACAAAAATCATGAAACTTTAAATTTTAAATAGTGGTTTTTTTTTTTAACCTTTATTAAAAAAAAAAAAATAACCACTCTTATTATCTTACTTACTGCGTTCCATGAGATCAAAATAAATATTGATTGATCAACTGACCATTCAAACAACAATAATTGGTTTGATAAACTATCAATGATTCTGGTTCAATTACTAGTAATTATACTTGCTTGTCCTAGCCAGGATAGGATTTACCTATATCACTATATTATCCTGAGTGTAAAGCCAAGATCATTCTATTCTTTCTTGAATCAAGTAACATATGCTTCAAATTAGAATTAAATTCAAATTCTAGTAAATTTGTTCTGATAATGTGCCAAAGAATGAATACATGCAATAGTTTTCAGTACTATTCAGTCACCCGTTATTCACTTGGTCCGTGTCTTTATATTCTTTAATTTTTATATTTTGCATTAGAAATAGAAGTTGAAAAATATCAATTACAGTTTGTGGATTCTTTTAATAATTATTGTCTAAAACCTCTTGAAAATAGTTTATAAAGTTTCCATATTTGACGGATGTCACAAATAACTTGACTGAAAATAGTAGGGAAATGACTATATATATATATATATATAGTTAATGGTCACCAGAGTTTTCATCTCATCCGAACTGAACAACCAAATGTCTTTAGAATAATGAATATCTCTATATTCATTTAGAATATTATATCTGGAATGGTATCTTTAAAGCTATCTCCAACCATCTTTTGACCTGACCTTTATTCTTATAAATAACCAGTAAACATCTTGTGGAGTGAATAATAAACACCTGAAGGTCAGGCTGTCTTCTCACAGTCGACTTCTACCTACATTCATATAGATTAACCTCTAAATAATAAAACATAACAAATTAACTCATACAGATCCACCTGATTTATTACGGTCAATATTTTGTTATTTAATTGTCTACTGTTGTACAATAATTATAATTGGAACATTCTTTTAAATCTATGTCAATTTCCACTCATTTCCTCTGTTAGGAAAGAGATTTGCATGTTATAATGGTGCTGACACACAATTAGACCTTCATCAAGCAAAATTTTTAGAGAAAACAGCCATGTAAGATTTCTGGCTTTGAACTTGAAAGTTCCACACATGAAATATTATCTGAACTCCTGTGTGTAACAGATTTTGTGACCTATTTAAAACATATTCAGGAAGACCAAGCTTATAATAGGATACATTTGAGCTTTTGTACAAAACCCACAATATCATTGAAAGTTGACTACATTGGAGATTAATGTTGAATTAATCAGCTTCCTCCATTGAGAAAAAAAGTGTGTGAATATCAATTAGATTTAGGTAGATTGTATAAGTAAACCAGTTTCCAAACAAGATAATGTGGTGACAATCTAGTATTACTATGCAAGATTAAGAAATATACTATATTCCATCACACACAAACAGACAGATCAAACTGACATTTACTCTAAGATTTATCATATTAGCCAACTAATCAGCCAAGTTTATTATCTTAAGAATATAACTGCAACCATTAGACTCATAGTAGAATACCTTTCAAATATACTTGATATATTTTCTTGGCTTTATTGCTAATAATTACAATCCCAATCCTATATCAAATTCTATTCACTGGGATTACTTATGATAAATGCCTTACTTCTGCTAAGCACTATTATTCCCACTCAAGGTATGGTACATGTAAGTCTATTGATTTATAACAGACATAAACTGGACAAATTCCCTGTGACATGGTCACGTCTATAATCTTATTTACCTATAAACTGATGTGATCTATAAATTACTTATCTATAGGCTAACAATCACAGTATCTATAAACTAATGTGATCTATAAAATAATATTACTGATAACAATTAACAGTATTAATAAACACTAATTTCATATATAAACTGATGTGATGTTCAAACAATTTATAGTTTCTGTGAAGTAATGTGATCAATAAACTAATATTATTGATAATCGATTTGATCTATAAACTAATATTATTGATAACTAATGTGATCTATAAACTGACACTGATGTGATCTGTAAACTAATATTATCTATAAACTGATGTGATCTATATACTAATATTATCTATAAACAGATGTGATCTATAAACTGATATAATCAATAAACTGATGTGATCTATAAACTGATATAATCTATAAGCTGATGTGATCTATAAATGTATCAGCAAATTTACAGATACTTCTTATAAATTACCTTTATATTTCAATCAAAGAAAAGTATGTACTTCCCAGAAATTCATTCATATATTCACTCAGACACTATAGCTATTTTCCTTTCAGTTTTCAATCTAACAATAACATACAGTCTATGTTTATATACTAGTAACATTGCATCATCATGTGAAACTATTTCAGTTCTTGAATATTTATAGATTTGTCTGGAATAAACAAGAAGATTTCTACACCAAATCTATGATGGAATCAAATGTATTTTAGTACCAAACTGAATCACAAAATTTTGAGTGGTACCAAAACTAGACTAATAGCTGGAATAAAAAAAAACATGACAATATGCCAACAAAACTATTACAGCTAATGCCAAGCCTTATTCTACATATATCAGATGTAAAAAGTGTAGGCATGGTCCCTACTACCTCAAAAATCATTGAGAATCTAGATTTTCACATACAAAGAAATTTCATGTTAAAAGAAAATTTCATGATTTTTGAAGATCAAATGAATTATCTACCACTACTTTAACTCTGAAAATGAGAACCATGTGTATAGATGAGCTCGGCACCACAATAAAGAATCTGTGTTTTCTGGTTTAATGTAAATGTTAAATGAGATAAATATTGATAATTTTGGAAAGAGATGATGGAGGCTTGGCATATTTTGCAAAAATATAATATCAAAACATACGTTCAAATAATGTAAATATCAAAGGATCCAGATCTCCAATTTTCTCTCCGTAACATCTTTTAGAGACAAATAATACATTAAGGAACTCATCTAAAACTATGCAAAACGAAGTAAACTGAATACTATGAGAATGAAGAAATCCATAAATAAGACCAAGTTGAAGCATTCTTATTCAATACACAAATAATATAAAGCCAATCAGACTATGACTATGACACAATTTGAATGTACTAAAATACAAAAACAAGAATATAAGTATGACTCAACTGCAGATTAAAGACATGCAGTAAATACATGATTCATAAAATTACAGAGACAAAACAAAAAGCACATTATAAGTCAAATCAATTTAAATGAGTTCAATGATCTTTCAACATGATAGAATATACAAAATTCTCATTGTTACAATATAATGCACAATACATCAATAGTGAGCGATATAGAAATATTAGAACAGAACCAAAAACATGTTGTAACTCAGAATGTCATGTTTACAATCTAAAATCCTTTTACAAAATCAATGAAGAAGCTCAAGCATTTATGCCTCTTTATGAACCTTTGTCCTTTGTTCAACAGTTGTCATTTCTACTATAAATATATAAGCATTAACATAGACAACAACAACTTGCAAATTTGATGATGAATATTGCCCAAAAATAAATTTAAGTTGATACCTATCTTGGACTCAATGGACTCTCCTCAATGGTACACTACACCACAGGTTTTTACTGCACAATGACAAAGCATATAATGGTCTTGAGATGAAACAAATTTCTAGCTGACTTCACATTAATATGTTAAAGTACTTTATTAATAAATCATTTCCTGTACCCCATACAATATCTCGAATCACAGTAAATATATCCTCATAAGAAAGTCCCAATCATCAACATATCCATCATTATATAAATTCAATTTGATGGTTTATTAAGGGTTAAGGTAATTCTTTAAGAGAATATCAACATACAAATTACACTTTTAAGAAACAATAAGGTCATCTCTTGAAAAACACAAATTTTTGTCTTTTCGGTAAGAATATAATATATAATTTAAAAAGTAATATTTTGAGATTATATATCTTTACTGTTGGTAGAGCATGTTTTGAACAATATATTACAATTCAACTAGAATCTACCAATTGTTATTCAATTTTTTTTTTAAAGATAGATCAACCTATTTTGTACATTGAACTAAAATTATTATACTCAGATTTCCTTACCTCTGAACTCTCACATCCTTAGATTGTGTCTAACGGAAGATCATTAAGAAACTTGTAAACTTGAAACACACCAGTAAATAATTGACAAATCTCTATAAAATATTGACTATAAAACTGAAGGAATTTTTATTGTTTGAATGTATAATTAGCTGTAAATTAGCCTTTAGCAGATAATAAACTCAGTGAAACATGATAGACACTGGGAACTAAGATCATTAAATAATGGTCAAAGGAAAGAATAAAGGCAAGGGTATGAATAAGTTTAATCTAGCAGTACAAACTATCTATCAATGACCACGAGATTGATCAAGCGAATTCGTTAAGTACTATATCTATTAATTGGGATGTGTGATTCTTTATAAGCACATAATAAGATATTATAAGAAATATGTCAGATCAAATACATGTACATTCATTTAAAATTACATACTTCGAAAGAAGCTCGCCATGCTACAAGCTTGCTGCTCTCACTCCCAAAATTGATTCATATCAAGGCTAGAAGATGAGATTTTAAGATAACAATCTAAAGAAACCTGATAGTATTAAGGAATTAGATAGTGTTAAATTGAAAGAAATATCCAAAGATATGCCTTGTCACTAATCTATCAATGTTAATTATTATCTCAACATCTCGAGACACAAAGATAATATCAGATAACAGGGATAATCAATCACATGATCTGTTTAATTGGTCAAACAGAAGGGATACTATCACTATTCAACGACCATTTCCTAAAATGTTGAGAACAGGTATTTTTTTAATATTGATGTTGGCATGTTTCATGTCTGTTTTTGGACGTTTTCTGTCTACTGACTGTCAGTATATGGATCCTACTACTGGTAAAAAATATGATCTGAGACCTCTCATATCCAGGTATGTAGAACTGTTATTCCAAATTATGTCAGCATATTCTGTTTTAACGTAATGGATTTTCCTTTTCAAATCATTCCGTGTGTAATCATAATCAACGAAAACACAAGATACCATTTTCAAAATATTTCTTTCTATTATAAAAATTCATAACTACAATATACTTTTATAGCACAGTTCCTAAGATGATGTCATTTGCATGGTTATGTTGAGCAAATGGTGGCTGTGGGTTCAATTCTCTTTCAATGTGTGATAGTCCAATGAATAAGTCATCTTCATTCATAATTCCAGTCAACCCAGCTGTAAAAGGGTACGGAAAATCCAAGAAAAGAGGTTTGGCAAAGGACAATGCAGATGGTAGAAAAGATCCTTAACCATGAACCTAAGTTATCCTTGTAAAATATAGTTAATTTTCTTTTATCATTTATTTGTAGTAATCCAGCAGGTTATACATGGAATCAGACAATTTGGTCTATTGGGGGATACTCTCTGGACAGCTTGAGCAATGATGTCCAGGTCAATGTCTCTTTCCAGTTACAACTGTGTAAAGATATTCAGCCAATCTTTAAAGGGTGTAACAGTACTGGTGCAGCATATTCTGTGAGTTATTATTTTAAGACAGTAGAATTTGTACTTGAAACATAATAGGAATATTTGCTTTATCGACACTGAAGTTTTCAATCCTCTTCATGGACAATAAACCAATTAAATCTGACAGGAAACCGACAGTAGTTTTAAACGTTCTATATGTTTTTTGAAATAAGAACTGATAACATTGTTTCAGTATGATATGAAGAATGGATGTATCAACTGGGGACAAGCTACAGCTGCAGCATTTGATGTTGTGCCATTTAAGGATGGTAAGCCTTATTTATTACTCCAAATAAATATGATAATATATTGTTTAATTTCAAAAGAATAAGATGGTTAGGCAGTACAGTAGTTTGATCTTTAAGACTGTCAAAATTATATGAAAAACAAAATGTTTTTATTAATTTAAATGCAAATAAGGAATTTATTTATGACTAAACTTTGGGTGTTTCACTTACAAACTTGCAAGAGTAACGTAAATCCCATATATTTATGAATAATGTCCGAGTGCGTTAGTCTTAAGTCATATTATTAACTTTTCTTTAACATTTTGATAGTTTTAGTATATCATTTTAATTTCTTTATACAGCTTAAGATTATGGATTTTTCGTTACAGGTGTGTTCTTACAGATGTTCCACGGAGACAAGATTAACCACTGGCAGAAATACATGTCCAATATTTACATTGTCTGCGATAAAACAGTTACTCAACCCATGCCTATGTTTGAACATATAAAGTCTGATATTTCTCAAGCTCACTTTAAAATTAGAACAAAACTCATGTGTTAATATTAATATTAGTAATAGTATATTTATATTAAAGTAGTACAACTAAGTTTTCAGTTGTAAGAATCTTATTCCATGCTTTGTTCATTTTGAAAATGTTTATGGTATATAGTGAATTGTGTTGTTAAGTATCTGATTTACTTCTGCATTCTATTTATTCCTCCTATGTTATATTTGAGTGAAATGGTTTGGAATATTTAACCCTAGGGGAATTCTTTCAAACTTGAAAGATTGTATGTGGTTGAAAAGATGTTCTCTTCTGATGACCTTGGCAAGTCATTCTTCAGATGAATATCTTCTATTAAACCCAATACTACCTGAATAAGTAAAACTCTTATAAAAACATTTCCACAAATTTTAATAATATAACCTCCCTTAGGCCATATATTGCTTTTATTCAATTGCAGGGCCTTTATTTTATTTTTATTTTCTATCAAGTAGAATTTAATTGTTGGGCTTGAATATATCAATTGAAGGGATTTATGCATAATAAATTTCACTGAATGCTGCATTAAACATTAATCAAGGATCAATAATATAATACAAGCAAGTTGAAGCAGGTTCATATATAATGATAATAAAAAAAAACACATAATAATTTTATTACCATCAAAACAATATAATTTGATACCTATCTTGGAGTGATAATAATTTTTTAACCTTCCTATGGCATATTTAAATCTATGTAATGACATATAACACCACAGGCTATTTACTGCACAGACAATAACAATACAGTGGATAAGCTTACAATGGTCTTGAGATGAAACAAATTTCTAGTTGACTTCACATCAATATGTTCAAGTACTTTATAAATAAAACATTTCCTGTACCCCATTCAATATCTAGAATCATAGTAAAAATATCCTGATTGAAAAGTTTATACCACCAAGATACCCAATCCAGATATTAATAGAAATTCAATTTTATGGTTAAGGAAATTATCAACATAAAGATAACACTCACTTGATCTTGCTTTTTATGAGTTAATTCTGATTTCACTCTAGTACTCATACTGAACATTATATAACAAAGCATTGTCAATGACCACAAGATTGGTCAAGTGGTATATATATTTGAAATGGGGTGTATGATAAATCACAAAATGAGATATTCTCAGTTACACACTGACGAGGATGTGAACTTGAATTTAATCCCTGAGTTTGGCCAGAGCCTGGCTAATCTTAGGTGCTGATATCAAGATAGAGATAGATTGCTCCCCTCCATTGTTGGTCTCAACCATGTCAATGATGCTTTAGCAACAACAGGCATAAAAAGTGGTGGTTAATTTACAAACGTGTCCTATATTCTCCATACTTTTTTAGATCATAGTTTAAGAGATAAGACTTTTCATAGATAGAATTTGATCTGTTATCTGTAGAATAATAAGGTAAATATTACTCTCAAATAATACCAGTATAAAGCGGAGTCTATGACTAACTATAAAAGTTTATTATTGTTTTAAACAACTGGAAAATGTGACAATGAATAATACAAGGCTGATGATCTTCACTGAGTTTCAAGTTTACCCAGTCATATCTTAAACATATTTATCTCATTTCTCCTCTTTAAAATAGCAAGGAACAGTTGGCTATGTTAGTATACAACAACAAAATTCGCAGCTCAGGAGTCCTTTCAAAAGTTTACCCAGTTGTCAGGGATCACCCTTTAGGTGCCCTTACACCATAGCGATTAACAGTTGCGTGATTGAAAGTTGAAAGTGATCATGAGTTCTGAATGCAACTCACAAGTCAGTTGTATGAAACATCCTTTTAAAACTTATGACCGGTATCCTTATTTGCAACCACATGGAACAGATGTTAGGTCCACTTTACTTTAATAAAAACATACACATCAAAATTGAAAATAATCTGTCAAGAATTCTATCTGGTCAAGGATAGAATAATGTTATTTAAATTTGTTGTTTCTCAAAAATTGGCTGTATATGGGTTTTTTTTTTCAAGTTTTAACAGTACAGAACAAGAAATCAAGTTTTTGTCAAAGTAACGTTTCAAGTAATGCAAGATCAATCAAGAAATGGATTTCCTTTATCATTGACTTTTCGATCAAGTTAACTCAAGAGTGACTGACCTTTAATTGATAAGATAATAAAATATTAATCCAACTGTATGCTCATCATGATCCTCAAATTCATATCAGAAATAACTTTTCTTACCCACAATCGGCATTGGCTAAAATTTTAGTTAAGATGCTCTTCAAAGAATTCCACAATAATGTGACACACTGACTGACAACTAACTTTTAAGTAAGTGAGATCACTATTAGTAATATTTTGGTGGTTAAGAAGAGGGCATGGCTGCAAATGATCTAAGTATTATGTGTCCACTGATGTAACCTATTGATTTTTAACAAACTGACTTGACAATGGATTGTAATAGTGATTACAAGCCCAATGATGTATTATGTGATATTGATTTGACACCCAAGTTATTCATCATAGATCATATTCATGAATGATCTTGCATAATGACAACCAAATGGTGCATGTATATTATATTCACACTTCAAAATAACACTCAAAAAAGAAAAATTGACAGTCTACTAGCAACTATGGTCAACTGGCTAGTCATAGATTCCTCCTGCTCAATTCCTATGGGAGGATGAATGGCTTTTTCTTAATTCCTTCCATAAATTCAATGAACAAATCCAATTTTTTTTAGCAAGTACATTAGCAACTGATGGAAAATGAGATTTTGAAGATGTTCTCATGTTGAGTAAATCCAGTGATTGATCATAAAATTCTTCCAGATGCCACCAGTTACTATCAGTCATTAAAAATATAGTATAGTTCTCTCAGATTTAAACCAGTCACAAGATCAACATTATTCCATTAAGAATTAGGTTTGACTACAATATAATAATTTGGTTTTAAATAGTTTCTGATTCTTACAATCAAGATAGCTTGCCAGGCAAGGTAACATACGCCCACTGGCAGCTGTCAGAAATGATAAAACAGTGACTAAAGTATGAATTTTCTCATATTAAAGAAATTTTAATATTTTGAATTCATTATTGATATATATATTTACTGCCAGTTATTTATGCTGAGAAATTCCACCAAATTTCTAAAAATTAATATCAATAATACAAACACATGAAATTATCGCATCAATATACATGATCACCCCAAATTTCATTCAAATCAGTTGAAAACTGTAGTCTCTATTGTGTTCACAAACAAATTTTGATGCGTTTTTCCTAAATCAAGGGCAATAACTCAAAAACTGTTCATTGAAAAATCGTCAAATTTGAACTTGATCAAGATCTCATCAATATGAATGCTCACACCCAATTTCATTAAAATCAGTTGAAAACTGTAGTCTCTATTGTGTTCACAAACAAATTTTGACGCGATTTTCCTAAGTCAAGGGCAATAACTCAAAAACCGTTCATTGAAAGATTGTCAATTTCGAACTTGACCAAGATATCATCAATATAAATGATCACACTAAATTTCATTAAAATCAGTTGAAAACTGTAGTGTTTATTGTGTTCACAAGAAATGTTGACGGACCAACGGCAATATACGTCCACATTTCCATGTGGGCGTATAAAAAAGGTAGGTGAAAATTGTGAGAAACCACAGTCCAGTGTGCATTAGTTAATAAATCATACTGATATAGTGATAATTGATCACACGAAACTCTTTACCATGGTGATAATTTTCCCTCTGACTTTCATGAGACAAGGTGAAAATTAGTCCTTGTGACATCTGTTTACTGTTCACATTTAAAGGGGACATTTGCAGTCTAGTTTAGTAATATAAGAGCTAGGGTAAATCCTCTCTCTTGTTGTTTATGTGTATTGTGGTTATTATTTGATGGCAAACAGGGTTCCAACATCGAACCAGTATCGAATAAATGAAACTATTTAAATCATGGATATTGCAATTGAGGAAAGAGGTCATTTAGACTGGTATATATATACATTAATAACAAGAACAGAGATATAGGATAACAAGTGCAAGATTAATTAAGATATACACCTGATAACTCTATTTGCTAATCTTGTTATTAAAAATATATGTAGTCAGGTCAAAAAGTACTAGACTTGATAAATTTTTGATATGGTTTTCATATAAAATGTATCAATTATCACTGTTTGTTGAGGGATTTAAGGTAATAAAAACATAACTAGATCAGAAATGATCCATGAATAAAGTTATATTAGTATCCTATTGAACAATACCTTCCTTATGACTTAAATTTAATGGTGTTGTCTTAAAATTTATTTATATACCATTAAGTAGGGTAACATGATCATATGATTAGTGTTATAATATATACAAATACATGTACTGGTAAATAACAACAACATTATGATGCCATATAAGCCACATGTGTCAAGTATAGCCTACTATTATTTTTCTGTCATGTCCAAAATACAAACTGTCACTCAGCCAAAAAAGGACATTCTTTCATAATGGACTGTACATGTCAGGATGTACAACCCAAATCAATATCAGATCTTAAACATTTCTATGAACACTTAAGCCTAGGAGACGGGGCAAGTGCCAGAGCAGGAACAGATATTTTTTATACTAGTGATAGACAATTTATGTTTAGTTAATATTGAAGAACCACAATCTAAATTTACATACTGGTATTGGTAAATTCCTGAATTCAATTCAAAAAGGTGATCAATATTGCCAATTCTATTACTCTTTCTTTTTACTTACAACAGACAGCGGACACAAAAAGATAATAATTTTTAAACTGTCACGTACATTTATCTAGAATATTCTTTGCATATAAAAATGCAAAATTTTTATCTGACCAAACCTGACATTATATAACTTACCAATCAAAGTCTGTACCTATACTATACAGTATTCAATACACTATATTCATGAATCTTCTAGATAAAACTATATTCTAGATTATTCGTCAACAAAGCCTACATTTTGTAAGTAACATAATCTAAATTTAAATAAAAGAACCTGCTCTCTCATAATATATATCTTTTCATTACTAATTTGATGACATCATGGCAAAATGACAAAACCACACATGTACATGTGATATCATCAAAACCTTTATTCATGAATTATTCCTTTGAAGTGATAAATGCTTGGCTATGTCTGAATGATCTATTGAATAATATATTTAGTAGGGCTATTCTGAAATAAGCATCCAATAGAGGTATAATTAAACATTAATATGTCCAAATTTAATACAGTTAGAGGAATAAGCATATTAGCTACAACAATTTAAAAATCCTATGTTCAAAATTCTTTTAAAAATTGGCTTACACAGTCTCCGGTCTTCTTTAAACACAACTATCTTAATCAAATTTGATTCAAAAGAAAGACTAATGATGGACAGTAAACACAGATGTCCTCCATTAGGTTCTCATCGATTTTTGTTCGATCCAATCACTAACAATATGTCAATGGCTAAACATGTTGATGAAAAATATCATTACTTTGATGAAATATAAATGCAATTTATACTTACCAATCATGAGCTTAGTACTTTCTTGTGACTACTAGTGACACAATGTATTTTAACAATTCCGTTTATCTGTGTATTCTACTCACAATAATTCCTATAAAGACAGAAATTGAGATGAAAAAACGAAATGATCATCTCTCAACAAAGGAATCATCGCAATAACTGAATATAGCAGACGAACTGATCACGTGATCAGATATAACGGTTGAATCAGCTGATCTCAAGGCCGTGTAATTGTTCTCCACGCAGAGAAATAGGCCAATATCTCAACCAAACATTTTCAATTGTTTGCATTGTATGCACCGTAGATTAGAAACTGTACAAGTTGAATGATCTATGCACAGTGTTATATAATTGTATAATTTCCTCGCACCTTTTGCTCCAGTATTACCATCGTATATTACGGGTTTTTTCCGTGCACTTGAAGTTAAAAATAGAAATATTGGCAACGAATTTTTAAAACACACAAATATTTCCATTCAAAAACACACTTTACTTCTGCGTGATGCTTTAAACTTATGATGACTTTTTTCCTTTAAAGTGCAAGAAATTAAATGTGATTATGTTGTTCAACCAATTGTTTGATCACTGTAGAATTTACACTGAATAGGCTGTCTTTTGTGTCAAGGCATTGACAATGATCGTACTCTATGGCACCGCTGCCTGTCAATATGGCATCAGGAAGACTAGGTTATTTTTTACAAGCTGTACGACTCCAATATTGAGGACAGATGTGTACACTTATATTAAGGGTCAGAATATGAACGCTTCAGCTACATTGGCTTTGGAAATATCTTGGTGATGTCAAAGCCAATTAGAAGAGTGCACGGATCTAAATTATTTTACTGGATATTAAATTTATAGAATAATAAGTTATTATCTAGATTGATTGTGTAACATTATTTTTTAGTTTATAAATTATACAACAGATATTAATATGATATTAACTATTTGTTATACATTGTTTGAGAGATCCGTTAACCATAAATAAAGATACTTGAATTCCCTTCAGTGCTTAAATTTGTATACTGTCTATAATTAATCGAGAAACCCTCTTGATAGTGGTATATCAGGTTCCAGAGTTGTGAGCATGCCCTTTTTCTACTGGGGAAGCCCACATGGTGCAGAAAAGTAGGACGTAAACCTGCATTCATTTCATTTCTACTGGCCAAGCAATCATAGTAACTTTGGCTACACTTTAGCTTTAGTACAATAACGTTTTTGGTCTCCAGAGCTTCAGATTAAGAGGATGTAAATGGTGTGTTATTAGAAAATCACACAAACATTATTAAGAGATGACCATACCACAGTGGCATCAGTACTTACAGCAGGGTCAGCATGACCTGTCTCAATTGTTACTTGTTTTATCCAACCTGCAGTTCAAGAAAATCCAAAGCTGGAAAGATTTTTAGGTCACAAAAACGATATAATTCATTTTCATGTCATTTTCTATCAAATTTTCAAATTTCGTTTCTCTCATGGATTGCCTGACTATCTGGAAATAGATGAATGTTCAAATCTCTGCATAAGTTTTTTGAGGTTTGGGAAAAACAACTAAATTTGGTATCTGTCAAAAGTCCACTAGGACTTTAAGTTATTTAAAATATCTAGATGATAAGGGTTTGTAGTATAATAGTGTTATATTTCAAACTGGATTGTAATTTAATTTAAGAGGACAGAATATAAAGTAATTGAACTTTTATCATGATGTACAGTACAATGTTAACTTGGTCAAGTACTTACAATTTCTTAAATTACTAAATGTACTTCGTCTATAGGTCAAATTTAAGTCTCAGTTTTCTTACTTTTATGAGATCATTTATGAGTAATATCAAACAATGCCAAAATATTTTTAATAGTTTACATAATATGCCATTTTATTTTAGCTACTATTTAAGGCAAATAGTCAATAGTCCATAAATTTCAATATAATTTAAACAATGCCTTCCATCCAAAAATTTCTAGAAAATTTCAAAGTTTTGAAAGCTCAGGAAATAAAACAGACGCAAATAAAACTGGCTGTAATTAATTCGAAAAGAGTAGTAGAGCTTTAATCTAATTCCAGTCATATTTTGGGCAATAATGGTGGCCAAACTTGTTCTAAGTTTTTTATGTCCATATGTCCTGGACTCTATGGGTCAAATGAATGTGACCATTGATGATGTGTGTTAGGTAGAATATGAACAGAGATATAAATGATACATCACCTTTATTATAATTGTTAATAAATTACATTGACTTTATATGGAATGGACAAATGGACAACCAATATACACAATATGACATAAAAATAAATAATAACAACAAACAAATAACTGATTATAATAAACTGATAATTAAATTTGAAGCTCAACTTCCAAAAATGAAATTACTATATGATTAAAATGATTAGACTTACAATATATTGCTTCGGACTTCTTTGGATGCTAAAAGATACAAAAATGTGGACCCATGTAATTGAAATGGAATTTTTACTTATAAATATACTGTTACAAATGAATTCTTGTGACCTGTGATGGCCAAAGTATAGGAATATATGAATTCAATGCTGAAATATTTCATTCTTGGTCCAATCACTACCGGTACTTAAGTCAGCCTACTTTGCCACTTGGGAAGAGTGGGAAGAAACAGAATGTAAACAAAAAGTTGTCATTGGTGTACTAGTATATGTACCATGGATCAAAATTTTTTTTTACAAATTTTACGTATTAAATCAAAATTCACAGTAACTGTAGTTATCATTAGTACCAGTACACTTTGAAACTGAGCAGCACTTTTTTTTAGTTGTAAAAGACACTACATGCACATACACATACAAAAACATGGTCAATGGTCCACCAATGATATAAAATAAATTAAAAATACTGGTCTTTATGTTAATACTGATATAAATAATGTTAATAAGTTAGATAAATATATTTTGAATATTTGAGCAGCTAACTCCATATACTGTATATAAGGGAGGGGACTGGGGCTGGGATTATCAAGTAACTCTTCACCATATATTATTCATACAGTTTTAGCAGATTTTACACCCAGAAAGTTTGATTGAGAGGTCAATGATGGGCATATTTTAACAAATTGAAATGAAATTAGAATTCAAAGCTTTACAGACCATATCCAGGTCTTGTGTTCAGAGCAGTTTCCAATTACGAGCTACTATAAATTCATCTTTCAAATTATCAGTTGAATGGTATTGATACAATAAATATTACATTTAACTTTATCAGAACATGTAAATAGGAGAAAAGATGTCAAGTGTAGCTACTGTATAAGATTTATAATAATAGGTTATCTAATACTATCAAGACAATAAATCATAATTACAGATAAGATAGAAAACTCATACATCAAATACATTCATCTCTTACACTATCACAGTAGCTTGTTCAAAATATCAAATATAAGCTTACGTCAGCATGTGCCAGTTAGTTGTGTGCCAGCAAATCATTGATAACCCTTAAACTATTGAACTTTTTATGCTTACACTTTTCCATCTGATATACTAACATTTATTTACTTTGGAATACATCTAATTCATTTACAACATATGAGTGTTAATGTCATCAACAATAACTACCTTTATAAATCCACACTGAAATATTGGTTTGGTTATTGCTTATGCTTACTTGATAAAATCAACTTAACTTCTCTTGAAGGGTCAGATTCGCCATTTTTGATCTTTGATCTTAAATATTTATAAATAGTCTTCAGAAGTACTAGTAATGTATGAAAATTGCATACTTTCTTATAAAATACCTCAAACTATTGATTTCACTTTCTATTTCTATATATGTGTCTTTTCTTTTTATGGTAGAGTCTCAAAAAAAGATGAGACGTCTTTTTAACTTTCAAACACCAATAATTCTAGATTAACTAGGATTTAAAGGTTCAAATTTTGGCAGTGAGCTGTGAAATCAAGTACTGGTAAATTGAGCAAAAAATTCCTGATTCTGAGACTAAGATATAATTGGTCAGATGGATGGCAAACTTGTCCCTTTGAGTACTGGTATTGCTGGAAGCAAGTTTAATCGAGCATGGGTCACTGCTTGTTAAATAATATAATAATATAATAATCAATATGCGGATATAGACTAGGTCATTATATAGGTAGAAAGAAGGTAAAAATGACTAGAAAAGTATGAATGTTAACAAAGAAATAGACATAGGTTATTATTTCAGCTTAGCAATTATACATTTCTAAATATTTATCTATCAAAAGGTATTAGATTTTAGGACTCAAACAAGTAACCATATATATCATAAAGAAATTACTTGTTTGATCAAGTATCTAGTATATTTATTGAATAGTTACAATGAGTTTCATGATCTAATATTAAATTTTGGTCCTATTTGTGATCAATAGTTAAAGACTAACACAATAATAGAACATGTTTAATTGAATGATATGAGACAGTAACCACTTAAACACTATCAACATGATACTTTTCACCTAATGTATTGTATATATGTGTATTGTGACAATCATAAGCAAAATATTTCCATGGAATACAGCATGTAAACAACTCCTTGCAAAATATAACAATAAAAATATCAGTAGTAGAGAAATTAGGAATTTCTCAGAACTCTCTTGTGACAATCTTCTCTCATCTTCTTTATTCTTGCTGTAGGAAAACTTCCAGTTTCCTTAAATATACTCTAAAAAAAACAAACAAGTTCCCAAAATATTTCTCATGCTATTGTAGTCAGAAGATGTGACAGCTTCCAAAAATTCATACTTGGCATGTGAAATAATTTGATCTTCAGTTCAAACAGTTAGTGCTGTTGCACTTTCACTATTCGAGACCAAGAGGGTTAACAAGGGGATTAAATTAAAATTGTCACAAACTATCGAACTTCATTTTTTTGGATCATATACCTACATACCATGTCTAATGAAAATTAGTAAAAAAATGAACATTTTTAACATGTGAGACAGACAGGTTAATATTCAGAAAGCATTAATGTTCAAACTTTTTAAAATCAGGTAAGTAACAGTTTTGTCTTTATAACTTACCTCAAGGAAACTGTGACATTGTAATGTAGAAGGATCTTTAACAAGATCTCGGAATAAATTAACAGCATCAGGAAATGATTTACAGGCCAATATCTTGTCTTTATTTAATTTAATAAGAGTCAGCGCAACTCTCAATAATATTTTAGGTCCTTCCAGGAACAAACAATCCCATATTCTTAATACTGTCTGGAAAGACAAATTAATCAACTTATAAATTATCTTCATAACATGTAACAACAATTATGATATTGTAATTAATGACACCATGTGTAATCTTTAGAGCCGGGTTCAAATAAGTACATGCCCAAGTATTGATACTTCTGTCAAATAACCTTTTAACTTTTAATAGTTTGGTATATCATCATGATTCCTCAGAGTCTCCATAAGGTTATTAGATAATTTCTATCAGTATTGAGTTGAGAAACACAAACTCTTAGTACTCTATAGGTCCTGCTTGTATTTGATAAAGACTTTCAAAGGGAAATAATTGCTATTATTATAAACTAAGAGGAAGTTATAATGATGTATAAATCATTATATGATTGACAAAATGTACATTATTTGTCTGTATTGTTTCAGTGAATTCCCAATCAATTTTCAAATTAAATGGGCTATGGGTAAGTAACAATTCAATACTCACCTCTACTGGCATAACATCAGCATATAAACATATAAACCATTTCATACCAATTAACATCCACTGTACACCTAATACTTCTAAATGTGCATGTACAGCTGGTAGCTTCCATCTGAAAAAAAAGTTCCGGTATCAGTTAAATAAGAACTTTAGAACAAAATATAGGCAGTCATGTTTTTGTAAAAGCCCTTAGACATCAAAGGTTGAAAAAATCATCAAGAAAATGTTATATGGTACATATTCTTATGTCAACAACTACAGTTGCATACACTGATATCAGCTTATCATCTTAACTTTAAAAAATATTTTCAATAAGCCAGTTCAGAACTATAAATGACGCCTACATACGCACTGTACTGTACTATGGCAGTCTATGGAAAAGATGAATTTCTATTAATGCCATATGTAGAAAGATCTATGTTAAACTATATCATATTCATATTTGCAAATTGCACCTTCATCTCACCTACCTAACAACTTCACCAAGTAATTCCTGTTCTGTTTTGAGAGCTATCATATCAGGAGCATAGAAATCTAAAAATAACACATCAATTTCACAGAAATAATATACTACACAATGGAATCAGAAATAAATTGATCATTGTCATTGAAAATGCAAACGAGAAAATAAAATGTCAAAGATATCCTAAAATATACCTGGCAGAATGTCATTTATCAGGGTGTCTAGTAACCAAAATGCCTTCTCTTCGTTTTTAACAGCTAATAATAATAATCCAGCAACAAAATTTAACCCCTAGATAAATGTACAATTAATATTAGCTTCAGTGTTCAAATTTCATTAATATTATTTAGTACATCATATACTACAAGATAAATAACTCAATAATAACACTGTATCAAAACTTATTACATAATACCTGACCCTGACATTTAGATATGGCCTCAGCCAGATTGGGGAAAATAAGATCTAATATACTTAAAGACATATGTGAGACTGTTTAAAATAGTGTCTGTAATCATTATCATATTGTCCAAGATGAGACCAAAAATGCTGTCAATGCTGCTCAAATGGTATCGAAAATCAACTTGTAATATCTGATTGTGTACAGTAGAAAAAGTACTATTACAAATCTTGCACCAGGCACAATAGACATAGCTTAAATAACAATAATTGTGCAAAAAGGCTATAAGAGTACACAAAAAAAATTTCAGAAACTCTCTTTAAACCAGGGGAAAATTTCTTGAAGGACAAATATGCTATAGAGTAAAATAAACCTACCTGACAATAGCCAACTCTTGAATTTTTGATAGCAACAGCAGATAGAACATGTTTTAATGGTAATCTCATAGCTTGAGGATCAGTTATATCAGCAAAATATATATTATCAGGAAAGGTACGATGTATATCTGAAAAAACACTCTTGTAGCATAAATATACTCAAACAAAGATTTTTTTCCATATATGATCATCACAAACACCTAAAATTTAATTCCTCTTTTATTCTTATAGATTCTTTTGTGAATTATTTCATTATTACGTTTGTACAGCAGAAATTATAACTGAGGAACATGAGAAGCAGCTCCCCTTTGCAACAAACTTTTAATTATCTCACAGAAATATTGGTCATAAAATGTTTTCACATGGAACGTGGAAAAAAGTTTAAGGAATATAAAAACAAATTTACCAAGTTTAATGGATTCTTCAACTTTAGGATCAGCTTTTTCATTTATCAGTTTATCATACATTCTGGGATTATCACGTAAATATAATTCTGCATTGGTTAAACCCATCCATACCTATTTCAAATATTCACCATAATATCATTAAAAATAGTATCAACATATCTTACAATACATGCCAAATTTTAATCAGTTTGTAATTAAAGGTAATTATTTAATTATTCTATTTGAAGGCAGAAATTTGATGGGGGACAATGAAAATCTGAAAAAATTCTACAAATTTTTAAAAAGGAACCACCCAAGTTTGGTTGACTAAAAAGACTTAATCTTTCACCAGAAATAAACATCAGAGAGCTATGGTACTCATATATATTCAATATTTCCAATACTTGTAAATCTGAGAATTTAGTTTGTAAAAAAAACTAATATTTACTGATGGTCTGTGTTCTGTTGGAATTCCTTTTCTACAAAATCTTTTTACTACAAAACAAATATATGATGGTAAAATAAATAAGTGTACTGCAATCTGATCTCACAAAAAATTAAAGTATAGTAAGTTTGCACTCGATATATAAATAAAATTTCTTCCCTAAATTATATTTTTAATATATTCCTTTGTCTAATGTAACTATCATTACTATTTGAACCTGATATTTCAAATCTATTAACAGACAAATAGATGACAGTAGGTAGTGATATGTGTAAATTTGTTCACTACCATTGTCTGTTAATACTTCTCAAAATTATTAATACTATGCATGCTATTGGCTGTAACCTTTGGGTTTATCATTCATTCAATCCACAAAAATTATGATTTCACAGTATTTTATTTTTGCTGTTCACATTGTTTTTAAGTCAACATAATATCTGAGGCCAGAAGACTACTAGACTGTTTCATATAGGCTGTATGTATATTCTCTAGTAGTTTTTTTTAATATCAGTTTTTATTCTCAATGGTAACAGATGTTCGTAATATGGATCTCATTTCACTCAAAAAAATCAATTCTTCCACAGAAATACATGTTTAATCAAAATAACTATTTTCATTATCAGTAATGATATTTTATAGTTCACTGGATATTTGTATTTTTCATAAGTTATAACTCAATATAATTCTATCAGCCTTGAATAAGATATCAAATATTGTCTAGGCTACATGTGTCTAAAAAAATTAATATTACAAGAAAATCAATATAATCATACATGCTGGTGTAGTTGCAGTTGCAATCATTTCCTGATATAAGTATATAAGTATCCTAACTATGATGTCTAAAATTGGTCTACAAAAGCAAAACTTATATGTGTTAACCAGATGCACTTTAAGAGAAAAAAAAACCCACAACTTAAGTTCATGAGAATCCTGTCCTGTCTTGGCCCTTGACCAAACCTCTTGGTGTGGATCTTTCTCAGTTTATTTCTACCTATTTACAGCTGGGTTGATTGAGGAGAGATGACTTATTCAAGATCAGTGACCAAGATTAGAACTAATGACAACCATTTATTGGAAGTTACCAAGCAAATGATGTCAAATTCTAATGCTCAAACAGACTGATATACATTCTGTCTTAAAACTTTTTTTAAGATTATTAATAAAATAAACGTAATATGTTTTATGAAAATGTGTAAGGCCTACTGTACCTTTAGTTGTCTTCGAAAGTGTTTCTTGATCTGAACCAATAACATTTTTCCATCGTGAAGCTCTTCTTGCCAATACATAAATATACCCTGACATAAACTCTTCATAGGTATGATAATCTGCATCTTCATCTAACTTAAACCCATAACCATCAACAGAACTAAAATTATAATAAAATGATAAGGCGCTTTCTTGTTCTTTGTAAGATAGGTTTGTAATAGACTAATCAAGAAACACCTATCTCAGTGATTCGAATAAGCTACAAGAGAGTTGTGCCAGACAATAGCAATTAATGTTTGAACACATTATACTCTATAGTAATCTAAATATCTAAATATTCTATTTCTCAGGTGTTAAAGTAGATTCAAGACATCTGTATCCCTTTTCAGAATAAGAATCAGAAGTATGATTTCTCTGCACTGAGGAGAAAATAGTAACTAAGCTCTAAGAAGATCATCATTACAACATTAATATATGCATTGGTCATTACCGTTTGTTGAAAAGGTATGGGTATTGAGACAGTAGTCACTTTCATTATGTTTGATTGGAATTGCAATTGAACATTAGCTATTCACTTTGAAAGGTCCTACAAGCTCCTGATATTGAGCTTTTAGCACATTGGCATTAGTCAAAATTCCCTGTTCTTTTCGTCCAATTCGTAGCCATGAAAGAAATATGAAGACTATATCCAGGCATCATAAAGTAAAGGCCAACTTAAATTTTCTGAAATTAACTTTAAATTTATATTTAGATTGTTGATAAAATAAAGTTTAGTCAGGTGTCTTATTACTCAATAACAAGAATTGATTCATCATGTTTACTCTGACTGTACATCTGTTCTGAAAAATGTGTTTACCTGTGTCCAAACTGTTCAGTACCATTGGCATTAGCCATTTTATTTCAAGATCTCAGCAAAATATTTCTTGCATATGTCATTAAATAGCAAGAATATTGATCACCTGATGACTTATAAACAAAATATTTCTTGCTGTCTGCTATTAGAGACATTCGTTTCAACGCCATCTATAATATAAAGGTACTGAACTCTGTATTACAATGTTGCAAGACAACATTTAAATTCAACTGTGATGACATCACAATTAACAGTTGTTTTGTAGATAAATCTCATTGTTGACTTCTCCCTACTGTATTCTTACTTTGTTTATTTGCCATCAGTCCTATATTGGAAAGATTACCTGCACTATAAAACAGAGCTGTTTTGTTTTTTTGTTTTGTATCTGAAACCTGTGCAAGAGATAATCTATTATGAATTAGATATGTCAAGAGTCTGCACATTGTATTTGTTATTGTTATTGCCCTCTCACCCATGTAATAGTAAGTTTCAAACTTTTCTCGTATGAAAGTCTTTCATTTCCAAAACAAGCAGTCACGAGACTGGGTCAGCAGCTTGAGATGAGTTTAGTCAATTAGTTACAAGAAAATGTGAAATTTTAACTTTTATTGATTGTAACAATTATGATAACAATGATATTTAAAATGATTATTTAATTATTATCATACATTATTATACACTTCTTATATCACATAGCATAAAAACCAGGATGCTGATTGTACCTCTAGTATTACACACAAGTCACATATATTGAATACTGCAATTATTAGGAATCGCAGGAACATTTTTTCAACAAATACAGTATTCAACATGGTGAAATAGAATATACAGATAAAGATAACTCATCAACCTTTTAATAATCAGGCATCATAAAAACATAACAAGTTCATTCTCTATTCCCAAATCACAATACAAAATATATACTTAGCACACACCCTATTATTTTATCAATTATATATGTCATTTTTATTTTAAACCTATTTCAGCCAATAGGCAAGCTATGAAATAAATAAGCTGTACATTTCATCTTCTTAAAATCGTATCTATATAGTGCATTGTTATATAATAAATTGGTCTGAAGCTTGACATTGGAAAAGCATTGTTTATATGACTTGTAATCTTAACACTTACAAAAAACAAGAAGCTCAAGCTGGCACAATAAATTTCTTATTAATAAGATGATGCTGTATTTATATTGATATATTTATGAGAATAACATACATAGATATATTGGGAAAGGGGTGATATAGGTGAAAGCCTGTTCCCCAATCCTATTCTTTTTGAATAAAATATTGTTTACAAAAAAAAAAAGATACAATATTTAATATTTTCATACATAATGCCAACAGGTTGGTAAAAGCTATTATGACTGGTAACTAATAATCATAAATATAAGACCATTGGTAACTGGAAATGTCTAACCATATATTGTAACCTGTCCAGAGGTAATAACCATTGATAACCAATGGACAGCTTTAATCAACTGGTAACCATAATGATAGTTGCTAACTATGTAAAGGTTATGATCCATGTAACAATGGGTAAAAAGCTGACTGATGAACACATACTTGTGACTCTGTTAAATACCCTTAAATAAAATCACTGAATGTCTGTTGCAATATAAATCAAAAGCATTTGAATAGAATCATTATAAAATTTCAAATTCTTCATCACTATCAGTGGACCCTCCACCTTCTGCTCCTTGTAACACTGTATACTCTACAATATAAAAAATGAAATCATTCAATATCACAATGCAGCATACATAGATACAATTATAAGTATTATGAGTTAGCTATTTATAGCACTATTCAGATAAAAATATGACATCAGGTTCTGTTACAATAAACCACCAAGCACCAACGCTTTCAATTCAGGACCAACATTCCTACAAAATTGATTTGTCTCACAAGCAAATATTACCCTTGATGTGATTACTGTGAAAAAGAAACTGAATAAAATGGAACTTGAAGAATAAAAAGAAAACAAACCTGTACTATGTGAAGAATAATGAGTATAAAAATCACTATCACTAGCTGGAAGATGAGCTGGTCGCACTTTATGTAATTCAAACATAGGATTTTTACTTTTTTCAATTATAAATTTACTAAAAGTTAAACATAAATCATCAAATTCTTCTTCTGTACCACAATAAAAACCCTGGAAATATTAAACTGATGAGGTAAGCTATGAGACAAAACAAAGAGAACAAATTGACTCCCCTTTATCACAAAACACAAATGACTAAAATAACTTATTTGAAGAAATATATATGTGAGATTTGGTGTTAGCATTGGAATGGATAAGATCTCAGTCAAGTTCGAATTTGTTTGTGTGTACAAACAGATTGTTTTTTGAAGGCATAAGTTATAATATTTCAAAGTCAAAACACCTCTTTACTACAGAAACACTACAATTATCAGTACTGACTGAAATTAATAATACAAACACTTACAACAGCAACTGAAGGATCTAATTGAGTTAATTTCATTCGACCAGGAAAAGGACAATGATACGTTACATCTGTAGAACTTTTGGCCTCTAAATCGACATAAACTTGTGTAGTGTGAGGATCTAAATATATTAGTTCATCTCCTACAAAAAATTAACTTTAATTATTTCTTAAATAACAATACTTATATATTTAATTATTAAACTATAAAACAATAATATTATCATGATAATAATACTATAAGCTCATCAAATAACATCCATCCATCCTTTTACATATCTGGTAATAAAAGATATAAATGATTAATTTATTACAGTAGCGCTATTGAAAAATTCTACATCTAGCATTGATATGCTTTAAATATTTCTCAAAAGTTATGTTTCAACCACACAAGAACATAATTATATGTGTACTAGAATTTTGGTTGGATGATATTGAGTTCAGTAAAACAATGTGGTATTTACTGTAAATATATAGTAATGTGGGTATCTAAACCTCTGATAATTACTATTATACTTACCTAAATAACCTACGAAATAATGGGCATGATTAGGTTTACCTCCAATAATACCAACTGACTGTTTTAATCCTAAACAACTCTACAAAACAATAATAATTTCACATAGTTTAAAATAAAACATGCCTCATCAATTTCAATTACATAATAAAAAGTGCGAATTGATACAACTCATTTAGTTGTGCAAAACTTGTTATCTCTTGAAAGATATTTCACAGCATAATAGACAAAATGATTAAACTAGAGACTTGACATACCTTTAAACTATCAAAATAAACAGGATTTATATCAGTTAATCCTAATCTCAGTGGAATTATCAATAGTAATGGTTTCCATCTTTCTGATTTCAATATTCTGTCAGGTGCTATATAACTTGAGGGGTGGGATTCAAAATCACAGTTTGTAAAACCTTCTTTATCTGTACCATTAATATCTGACTGTTTTGATTTTTTACTATCACATTGGCATAGATCACCTACAAATATATATGATAAATTCCATCAGGTATCTTATGTATAGAAAGTTGAAATTATAAATGAGTGAATACTGTAGTCATATTACGTATATCAATTTTCATGCTAAACAGTCAGATTCAAAACATGATAAAGCCTTCCGTTCAGATCTAATTGGAGAAAGTGAAGAAACGGTTCTTTTACTAGCTTTGTCTACAGATTTAATATCATATTATCAGTTTCATATAATACATTACTTCATGTCGGTGAAAAAGAACACCGTGATGTAATAGTGATAAGTATAATTGACTTACGTATATCACTTTCTATTACTGTATTATCCATTGCTACATGTACTACTAAATTACTCCAACCATCATATATTGATATCTTTCTGTAATATTACAATGAATGGGGAATAACATTTATTTTTCAGTTTCACCCAATGTCCTATTCTTTTAACACGAAAATTTGTAAATCTGATTTGATTGGATTTTACTCTAGCAAATTCAGCAAATTAAAGTCCTTAATAGTAAATCTGTAAACAGTATGTTTTTCTGCACTTGCTGGCATACAATCCAATCAAATCAATCCATTTTGTGATACAAGAATAGTGACTATAGAAGTCAAGGTATAAGACAGATTCTGAGCCTTGTGATAAAGCATCACCAGAGTTGGTTTTCTAAATTATATTGTACTAAATGTTAGATTAAAAACATTGGGAACTTAGTTTTAAAATATTGATATCTTTCTGTCAGACATTACTTACTTTAAAACCTGAGCTATTGTGTTTGGTCCAAACCACTGACCTACTGCTTTTCCTTCAGAATCACCCATTGATGCTATAAATAGGGTCAAGTTACAAATTATTACAACAAAATATTGTACAAGGACATTCATAAGAGATATAAGCCTAGGAGATATTTATCCACTGTATTGCTATGTTTAATAAGTATTAAGTACTTATATTAAAAGACAAAAAAAGTTCTATACCAGTCTGATGAAGCAACTATGTCGAGGATTAACATATAAATTATAATACATATTTTACACTCATTCAATATAATGTTTCTTCAAATTTTGCTGGTTTTTCGTCTCAACATAGGGCCTTTCAATCTCTTTGCGTATAATTCTTATATTTCAAACCAAAAAATAGTACTGCATATACATGATCTTTTTCAAGGAAGGGCAATATAGTGTTTCTAATATATTTAAAGAAAAACTCACTAGGTACCTACCTATTTGATGTATGGAATAAATACTAGTCTTTTTATCTTGAAACATTTTTAATATCTTCCAATAATTTTGATCATATACTTGAGGATTCCATCTCCATTCTGTAGAAAAGGACAAATAAAATACCTTTTGAAATTTTGTTGGTTCATGTGGTTGATTCTTGCTAACAAGCAAAGTGGGGCAAAAAACTTTTCATATTTCCATTGAGTCCATACATTTCCAAACCCAAAACAAGTTTCACGTGATTAACAAGATGACTCAAAATTCTTGTATCCATTTCCTAATAATGGTCCATTTCATATAAATTATGCAAGACATTGTTTACCAAATCATTTTTGAATTACAAGTGTGGTTTGTCTGCATTTGACATCTAATATTAATTCTAATTCATACAGGTGTCAAGGACATGCACCACTGTCTATATTCAAATTACTACTTACTTCTACCAAGATGTCTAAGCACTAAAGCTTGAGCTAACATCATCTGTCCACATCGTAACATACAACCCCATCCTGTATCATTATTTGGTCCACAACCACCTGCAAATTGCAATTAGACTATTAATTTTTACATTGTGATAATTTTAACATACAGTGTTTTTAGGTTTACATGTACACAAAATTTCAACTATTAAGATTGTCATCAAGGAAATAAGAACATAAGCAATTATGCAGCTACACTGATGCAAGTAGGAAACTTTGATCTTTGCATGAAGGTGTATTATAGAGAGTCTTCCATGTAATTACCACACAAATCAAATTTTCACAATGATGACTTTAATAAAATTGTAAAAAATATTTCATACCTATATGTGAATAGTTTCTTCTATAAGTGAACCATATCCTTGATAAAATATCATGTTTTAGCTCATCCCTATCTGTAAATAATAAGTTTTTAGCATGTAAGAATTATAATGGTATCACCAGACTCATTCTGTATCATATGTTTTGATTTTGCCATTTGAAATGTGTGCAAACTGTATGTCTTGGTCTTGTTGATTACACTATTCCTTGCTTATTTTAGGATTGGATAGCCATTCTTTAAAAGCCTGTTGATGAAATTACTTTCTAATAAGAAATGATATATCTTACCGTATATGGTACTATATTTTTCACCTAATAAATAGAGAGGTTCACTTGTTGTAGGAAAATCTTCATAACATAATGCTCCATTTTCATACGATCCTAAACTTGCTGGAAAGATAATCATGCAATAATATCAAAGGGCTTTATGTAAAAAAGCATATTTTGCGATTAGTGACATCATCAAAAACTTAGTTCTAGTGTAACTGCAGGGTCTGCAGATGTTTGATTGAAAATTGGAATGGTGCAAATTGATACTATCAGTGTACCAGTTACACATAAAGAATCAAGAAAACCTCTTTACAATCCCTTTACCAGGAGGGACAAGTTGCAAGTCTTCATGCAATTGTTCTGTTCTGTAAGACAGGCATAACGTTTGTTATTCCTAGCAAAATTCTGCATTCATAATCCTTACGTTCAAAGCAGCAGCCTTGATCATCACTAGTCAACTGGTCAAATTGATGAGAAAATAAACTCTTGTCCACTAATTATGATTTACCAGACAGTATTCTTTGTTTAAATCGACAAAGAAATGATTTAATATGCATCCCAACAACTTGTATGTTTTAGATTATGTCTCAACTTCATGTATGTATTTTGTGTATGTTGAGACAATGTGATACTTGAAACACACATTAAGAATCATTTTATTACCATTGTAAATGATTGGATGCAGATAAAAAATAGACAGGGGAAACAGCTTGAGGGAAATAATGAACACATAATACACCCTTAATCATCTCATATTAAAATTCAATTCACAATAGAAAGTCTAAATATTAATGTTCAAATTGGAAATATACATATATGAGTACATTTAAAGGGACAGATGTGCCATTTAAGGGGGTTGATTTTAGTCTTGAATATGTAAATAGTCTTCAGAAGTACTAGAAATGTTAGAAACTAGCATAATTCCTTTAAATATATTACAAATTTTACTCATTATTTATATATATATATATATGCCTTTTCTATTTATCACAGAGTATCTTAAAATGACGAGTTGCCATTTCATTATTCAAACGCGGATAATTCTTGACTTTCATGGATATGAAGGCTCATATTGACTGGCAAGCTAAAAAATTCCTGCTTCTGAGACCAAAGTATTATTGGCCATAAATATAGAAATGGAAAAGAATCAAGTGAAGTTTTACATCCTAATTAAAGTGATAATATGTGTTAGTCAATTCAATTAATAATCTTTTTGGAGTTTCATCTAAGGTTTCTGCTTTAAATGGCCTCTTCTCAAATATTTCATAAAAAGCATTCAATATAACTTGCTGTTTGAACCTCTAGGTGTTATTTGAATATCTGAACCGTTCCTTGAACCAAATATTGTATTTAAACAAAGATGCACATATATGCCAAATTAAGGCAAATTTGTATGTAGTATATGTGAAACCATGAATTATTTGCCATAATAACCTAATCAGTGTTATTTTAGTGGGACAGTATACTGGAAGCAACTTAGATCATTAACCTCTGACTGATTATGAACAGTTTCTCAGGGAAACCAAGCATGAATTGATATGGTTGTATCTCATGATACTAATACACAACTTTTACTCTCGATTTTGCCATACTTTGGCATTAACGGAATTGTCTTGCTTGTATGGATTTATTATTGCTAGTGTTTTCAAGAATTGGCCCTCTATGCTTTCTTGGCCCTTGTGTAATGGACCACAAAAAAACACTAGTAGAATAGAGTACTTATCTTTATTCAATAAACTACAACAGAATTAAACAAAACAGAATCATAATACAAGTGACATGGTTCAAAATATCAGTATCAAATCCTTCATTACTTAACCTATCCTTAAAGCTGGTGTCAAGGTGGCAGGTTATGTAACAAATCATTAACTAATATCTATGTAGGTTTAAGCTTATGACCTTTTCTGCCTAAGTTCAGTCGCACAGCATTTGTAGCACTTTAGTTTCAGGCTTGAAAATAATTGTTATCAAAGTTAGTACACACCATGATTTAATATTCACTCAAGTTCTTTCATTAACATTTAAACTTTTAAACACACATAAGCTTAACTTATAAGAAAAAACGGATTTCAAAAATAAGCAATTATAGCACTTGAACTGGTTAAAAAAAAACGAACCACAAACACATAACATTTATAACTATAAATCCACATATGTATCAAAGATTCTTATATCCTTACAAAATACGAATCCAAGATACCCTATGTTGGTTGAATGTTTATTTTAAGTAGTAAACCCTGAAACCAATAGTCTTAATTTCTTAAATTTATACAAAAATATCAAATACCAGTGTAAGTTTCCTTCAAACAAATTATACCTAGAAATCTACTAAACACATATTATAAACTAATGTGCATAATAGAATAAATTTTGACTTTAGAACCACACTTTTGCATTTAATACACACAATGTCATCAGTCTACTCAGAAGTAACACAAAGTGAAAGTTTTAACATTTTCTGAGTTACAGTTTTAACCAATCAAACATTTTCATAACACAATTTAGTCCTGACTTTCATCACTATCAAATGACTCCTCATCAGTGTCATCTCCTTCAGACACTCCAGCCTCTTCTTCTTCATCTTGAATCACAATACGAGAGTCCGTTATATTATGATGAGTCTTCAAATATTTTTGTTCAAGTTTACGCTGTTTTCTGTCAATATTGTCAGCTTTAAATTCACTGACAAGAGGGTAAATATGTTCTATAGCACATTGGACATTGTAAACAGAGGGAGCAGTGACAGTAATACTTCCTGTAGAAAATATTTTCAAAGTTGCCTTTGGATCTTTAATTCTATATGTGACTCCTGGATGAAGTTCAGGCTCATAACTGGCTTTATCTTTGTGTTCTCGAGAAAATAGTGTTATTTTTATTCCAAATGGAAGGGAACAAGTTCCCAAAACATTAACGACACGAAAGTTTGAAAAACGAACATTAAACCCCATGACTTGTAGACGCCTTGCTATTCTGCGAGCAGCAATCTTAGAATCTTCTTCACTTGTTGCTCCAGTACATGTGATTTTTCCCGATGACCAAATGCTTGCTGTAACATTTGGAACTCTTAATTTCATGTTACACATTCCATTCTCTTTCTTAAATTCAACATTAAATCCCTCTAAAGCAATTCTCCTAAGATTTAAATGGCATCTGGTACTGAATGAACACACCACATTGTTTATATTGATTTCTAAAATTGGATCATCTTGAAGAGATTCATTTGCTGCCTCTCCTTCACACTCTGGCTCTTGTGAATATTGAAGTTGCTGTGACAAAACTTGTCTGGAAATTTCTGAGCTTTCTAACTTGATCTGTCCATTTCCAGCGTCTCCTTTTGATAATATTGCATCTGAAGAAGGTATCAAACCTTCTGCAGCAGCCATTTCGACCTTTTTTTCATTAGTTTTACCAAAGTTTTTTCTTCAGAATTTTTATTTCGTGTTTGCGGTGTTAAAGCTAAGGGGACGTAACTCTACTTCCGTAAATATTACTTCCGGTAAAATGAAATTACGTCGACTGCTTCAATATTTCAGATAGCAAATTACATTCCTCACTTTACAGCTTGAAATCTTGGCATTATTTGAGTATGGAAAGGTAAAATACCACAAAAGACATAAGATTTTACTCATATATGTCACAGAACTGATAACTATTCAAATTATTGAGGAAATACAATGGTTTCGAGGCAAAATGAGCTAAGATCTCTGTTCTCTTTCAGCGGACTGTGTTATTTTTTTTTTAAATATAAAATGCTGTCACTAAATATTTGATCTTTCAAATATCAGAGTTCAAGAGATAAAACAAGCCCAAATTTCCCAATAAATTAACGAAGATTACCTTCATACTCCATTTCTTACAGAATCACAACAATATGATTGCGCATGACCAAAAAATGTTTTTGTCGGATTTAGTGATTGGTAGAAATTCTAAACGGAAGTAGTTTTGAACCAATAAATGCCAACATTACAAACCAAAACATTGCGGTAAACATGAAAGGATTATCCCATTGTCCTTGGATGGGTTATGCTAGACTATTGTTACTGGTTATTTTTTGTCATAATTAAAAGCAAAGTCGTAATAATTATTTCTCGACTATAATAAGGTGCAGACAGACCAAACATACCCTAAATTATCAATCATTTGTGAGAATGAAAGGGGAATAAGCTCCAATTGAAGAAATCTTACCTACATTGAATGGATTGTTCCATCATATTGATACTGTCAGAGCATGTGATATTGACAAAATTTTTTACCAGACACTTATAAGTGTCAGTGCCCCCGATTTGACCACAGTTGATATCAGTATTAAGGTACGAAAACAAAACATTAGCCAGCAACAATACCAACTATTATAGCAGTACCTTAATCCTTGAATATTTGTCATTGACATAGATAATAACATTATCATTTATGATTGTGGCTGAGCAGAAAAGGAATTTCATTGATATTGATTCAGTAGAAGTAAAAAAAATATAAGACACAAATTGTAAACATATTCTATCATCAGGTCTGCTCTGATACAACCATGGCTTCAGGTTTGTTCAAGTTTATTTCTTGAAATAGTTAGTTAAATAGCAACCTTATCATCTTGTATCAGTAAGTAAAAATTGTCAGTCTTTTCTGTGAAATTAATTTGTTTTAACCACTTGGCTTTTGATCATTCTTTCCAAAATGTGAATCCTTGCCGTGAGCCTGGACAAGAAACACACTTGTGACTCTTTGATAATACTCTTTTTTCAGCTCCTGTTCACCCTACGTTAGAATCATTAAAATGGATATTAGGAAAATGGACATCTACGAATGGTGTTTGTATATTTCCTACTATGAAAGAGGTCAAGTATTCAGAGGATGTTGAATTTTTTCAAGTTGGTCAGCCTAACATACAGTTTAGGTAAAAATACAATATCTTTCCCAGAAAATACTCATAATGAACAATTGTCTAGAAGTTTCAATTTAAAAGTTGAAATAGGATATGTACTTGTTAGAGCTCAAACACATTAGAAGAACAAAAAGTTTTTTAATTCACTGATGACAAATCTCATAAAAACTTTGTGATTTGACTGGATGTGTTTAGTTTTTAGACATGAATATGTATATAAATTTTATTACTAGTTCTATTATTATTTCTAGCTATAATTCATATGATGTAGAGAAGAAGAAGCCATTACATAGAGAAATTGGATTTATTCGTATTCAACCAGGTACCAATAAAATAGGTTTTTTAACAGCACACAACAATGGTTAGTATCTTATTTAAATGCAAGTTTATGTTTGTATTGAATGATAATAGCTTAATTTGTGTCATGAATAGAGATACCTATATAACTGACACCTTAAAACATCAACAGATTTTCAGTCTGTTTTGAAAACACCTAAAGAAACATCAAAATGCAGAGCAGTATGAGGAATTTCAGACAAATTAAGGTGTAGGAGAGAAATATATGTTGTATTATGTAACAATTATATATTTGTACATGGCACTTACTTTTTATGCGCTGAAGCTCCAAATAAATTTGCATTAAAGTGGAAGATCAGCTCATGAACTGTTTTGTCCACAACAGAGCCATGACAATAAAATACTTGTATTAACTTACAGGTGTCACCTCAGTTGAAGAAGGAGAAGTTAACAATGAAGAAATAAAAACTGAATCACATACAGTTGGTAGATTAACATTTGGTTCAGATCCAGAAACTAAAAAGGTACAAGATTTTCTTCTTTGATTTAAAGTATCTTCAAGTAATTATGGAAACGCATTTTTTTTTATAATGAAATTTCATCTAATAATTATGATTTCCATTCTGCCATTAAGTAATTTTTTATATCCCATAAGTATTGTAAGTAATGTTGATGACCATGTTAGTAATCTGAAATGTATCTTTATCATATGTTTCTGAAATAAATTGTTCATAAAACTTGGAACCATTAAAAACTTGCATTTTCTTTTCTAAGGGAGAAATATTTCAAATATTCTTTTTTTGCAGTTATCAAGAGTAATTAAGAAAGTTGGAGATGAATTGGAACAAATAGTTTATATGGAAACAAACAATACACCTTTATCAGAACATTTACGAATTAGATACAAACGTGTGGAATAGAATACAAGTGACCATGAGTTTTAAGAAGAAAGCTTTGGAGTTTTATAAATTCAAGCTATTTTGTGGTTTATATCAGTACAAGTCCAATATTTATATTGTCTTATTATTACCTCCCTTTATATGCTAGGAGTCTTTTCAGTATATTTTTGTCTATTGGTACCTTGTTTCAGTCTATCAAATCTGTATATGTACAGTATATCTGCTTATTCCTGTATACACTTACCACCCGACAGCCATAAAACCACATACACCTACCACCCAACATCAATAAGGCCAAATGCACTTATCATCCGAGAGTCATAAGACAGTCGTAAGGTCAAATACTCATGACATTCGACTGCCATAAAACTACATACACTTTATCCACTTGACAGCCATAAAACTACATACACGTGAAAGCAATCAGGTCACATACATTAACCACCCGACGGCCATAAAAGCCACATACACTTACCACCTGACAGTCACATACTCTTATTACCACTAGTCAGAAATAATGCCACAAACACTTACCTCCAGACAGCAATTAGGCTACATACACTTACCATCCAGCGGCCAAGATATCACAAACAATTACCACCCGACAGTCAAAAAGTCACATTCACTTACTTCACAGCCATAAGGTCACATTATACTTGTCATCCGTTAACTCATAACGCTACATTCACTTACAAACCAGCAGCCATAAGGTCACATACACCTACCACCCAACAAGCATAAGGTCACACACACACTTGTCATCCGATAATTAATAACTCCACATACACCTGCCACCGAACAGCCCTACAACCACAAATACTTACCACCTGACAGCCATAAGGTCACAATCACTTACCACCCAACAGCCCTACAACCACAAATACTTACCACCCGACAGCCATAAGGTCACATACACTTACCACATTGTCATCAGTCACAGGCGACAGCCAAAAAGCCACATTCAGCTAAAATGTTGTTGGGTGGTAAGTTGAAGTGGTCTTGTGGCTGTCAGATCTATTAGTCGTAGAGTGGTACAGGTAAGCTGTTCATTGTCTGCAGTCTGCACGGTTCTAAGACTGTGTGGCTTAAGACAGTAAGGGTTATGGCTGCTGGGTGGTAAGTGTATGTGGTGCTTTGGTTGTCGAATTGTAGGTATATATTTATAAAGTTGTTGGGTGGTAGATGTAAGTGACCTTATGGTTATTGTACGATAAGTGTATGCTGTCATGATGACGACCTGTGGTTGTAATCGTAGGCCTCCTGAGGAAATGCCCAAGTTTGGATCACGAGACAGAAGAATAGTGGCATGTTATGGATGGCACAGAAGATAATGTGATGAAAGGCTGTAATAGATTCGGTAAAAAGATTGCAGGGATTGTAAAATATCCAGTCTACTCTACATTGTTAGTTACGAATATGGTTAGGTTGCATATGTTGTATATCATCTTGTGTGGTCTTCATCATACATAGTAAGATTTCCTTGTTCGCGGGGGAACACATGTAGGCCTAAAGTTATAAGACCTGAATTCAATTTGTGGTATTCATGTAGTTATAATTCAAATGCAGGTGTTGTAGGTTTCTTCAGTATGGGATTCCTTTCAAACCCTCCTGCACCTTACTGTAAATACGAGGTGGATGGGATATCTCAATCTGATTGACACAAACTGTTTTCACCAACAAGAACAATCAATTAATGAATCATAGTCACCGCAGTGTTATTATTGCCTTTGTACCAGACCATCTTGTGAACCAACCGATGGAAATCACCAGAAATTGCCAAAACCTGGCTATAGGACAGTTATCAGGGAAACTCCAACAAGGATACATGCTGACATGGTCTCCACTCTAGGGGATAATGCAGAGAGAGCCATGACGATGACCCGAGGTCAAGAAAACCTTTAAATCCGGAAAACATAACTCGAGTGCATGGCATGGACGATTGATTACTCGACATATTGCGTGTTGTGGTAATCTCTCATGAGAGGATTGTGCACATTATTACCAACAAATTGGGAACGGCAAAAGTTATTGCAAAATGGGTGCAAAAACTTTTTAGCCAGCCCCAATAACTATCTCCTGGTACCCCTTTCCAGACTTTCAATTTCTCATTTTATTGATTATAACGCAATCCTTCGAAGTTTCACAGACACCCTCGAAACTATTTGCTTGCGAGTCGTTTGGAGCCAGCCAAAACAAAAAGCTGTTCCATACTGAAAGGTCAAGTAAAGGCAGTTTTAATGAATATTAAACCACCCAGTTATAAGAAAACACATATTCACATAATAGAAAGTTTACACGAAATGTTCATTGTTTATGAAAACTAAAAAATAAGAACCTCAAAATTTTAATCATATCCGACGTTTTATTCATATACTACACCTTTGAAAAATAAACATTATACGATGATTGTATGGTATGAATAATGAAAATCTAGGGTAGAACTGTTGTGTAAAAAAATACATTATAATCTTAAGACCGATATAACTTGTTTCCAGTTTTTCAGATAGAAATTAGACTACATCTATTATGTATTAAACAGTTTATAAAGCTGCTTTGTATACAAGATTTGAACGACATATAGAAGCGAGGAGCGCATATATAACAAAAACACAAGACAATAGTATGGAATATAACTAACTTCTTTAATAATGTTGGGCATAAGGTCTGATGACGACACGTGTATATTGTGTTGAAACGTTATGTGCCAAACCTTATTAAAGAAGTTTGTTATATTCCATAATATTGTCTTGTGTTTTTGTTATATCTGCTTTGTATAATTTTAAACAGAAAGGCTAAAAGTAATTGATCTTGTCACTGGGAAAAGCCCAATATCCCTGTTCGGACAAATAGAATTTTATGTGTGGTAGGGGTTCATGATTATGTGCATCACGCATTTGGAATGCTTACTTACATCACCATCTTGACCAGTACAGTACAGTTATCATATTACTGTGACCAATTTACCTTGTGGCCACATTACTATGACTAATTTACATTGTAACAATATTACCGAGACCAATTTACATTGTGACCATACCACTAACGGCAATTTACCTTCTGACCATATTACTGAGACCAATTTACCTCGTGACCACATTACCGAGACTAATCTACATTTTGACCATACTACTAACGGCAATTTACCTTTTGGCCATATTACCGAGACCAATTTAACCATGTGACCATATCACTGAGACCAATTTATCTTTTGCCATATTACCCAGACCAGTTGCCCCTGTGACCATATTACTAAGACCGATTTACCTTAGGACCATATCACTAAGACCGATTTACCTTGGGAAAATATATCGCTAAGACCGATTTACCTTGTGGCCATATTACTGAGACCAATTTATCTTTTGCCATATTACCCAGACCAGTTGACCTTGTGACCATATTGCTAAGACCAATTTACCTTGGGACCATATCACTTAGACCGATTTACCTTGTGGCCATATTACTGAGACTTATTAACATTGTGACCATATTACCGAGACCAATTTACCTTGTGGCCATATTACTGAGACCAATTTACCTCGTGACCACATTACCGAGACTAATTTACATTGTGATCATACTTCTTACGGCAATTTACCTGGTGACCATATTACTGAGACCAATTTTAGCATGTGGCTAATCACTGAGACCTTCTGGCCACCTTGTAACTATTTTACTGTGACCAATTTACCTGATGGCCATAGTAATGAGACCAATTTACCCTGTGTCCATATTACTATGACCAATTTACCCTGTGGCCATAGTACTGAGATTAATTTACCCTATGGCCATATTATTGAGACCAATTTACCTTGTGCCCACATAACTGTGGCCATATTACAGAGACCAATTTACCTTGTTGCCATATTGCTTAGACCAATTTACGATATGGCCATATTACTGAGACATATAAACATTGTGACCATATTATTGAGACCAATTTACCTTGTGACCATATTATTGAGACCTATTTACCTTGTGGCCATATCATTGAGACCAATTTACCCTGTGACAATATTACCGTGTCCAATTTACATTGTGACCATGCTACTAACGGCAATTTATAGTGTGATGATATTAATATTATTGTGACCTTGTAACCAATTGCTCTGTCTGATCAACTTATTGTTGTTCTCGAATAATCATGTTCCTAATCAGATGAAAAAATCCAGGCACCGAGTCATTTGGCAATCCGGAATAGTAAGTATATTGAGGTAATTTTTCTACAAAAAATTGTATCAAACATATTTTATTTTCTTAATTGAAGTTCTCACAAGATATCACACGATTTACAGACCAGCATTTACTTTAGATTTTCTGTTCGCATCAAAATTTTCAACGTAATGATGACCTTCATATATCAAACCAGAACGTTTCTTCAAGCTAGGTAGAATACTGAAGAATTAAACATGGCGTCGAAAAGTTAAAGATTGATAGACATTTTGACTAGATAACTCTTACCCAGCAAGTTTTTATAATTAAATGCTCATCAACAGAGAATTCAAATCTATTTTCAGATTATCTGGTAAGAAAAATTCATGATTTGTTGAAGCTTTACCATTATTTACGTTCAATCATGTAATTTGATATATTACTTCGTTTACCATATAATCGTCACTTAGTCATGCAGTCTCGTTAGAAGAATTTGCAGTTTCAATTCAATTCAATTGCATTTTGAATTATAATTTTCCCAGCATTCAAATTGTGTTAAAAAGAAGTTTTTCTCGTTGTATATTTGTCACAAACTGTAGAGAGACTGTCGTTCATTTAATAAGACAATTAACAAAGCTGGTGGATGTTGGAGAAGGTGTGTCTTGATATGCTGACGTGATTACTAAAACTATCCAAATTTGCCGTAGCAATCAAGATGTGGATAAAAATAATAGTTTAAAATTATCAAGTATCACCATCATACAAAATGGATAGCGAAATATCGGAATTCGGATTCCAGTGTCAGCGCGAAGTAGGCTATCAGTAACCTTTATTATCATCACAATGATCATCGTCTGGATAAAATTAGATTTGTCATTTATGAAAGTGGTGATATGATAACGGATTATGATCAATCATTTCAAATTATAATAATTAAATTGAGTATTGAAAATTTCTATGAGCAT